AACAGGTACAGTACAGTATACATAAATTGTACTGTACCCATTTTCCGGGATACTTTGAGACTCCAGGTACTTGGAAGTAAATGATAGTACTGTACCTGGAGTCTCAAAGTATCTCGGAAAATGGGTCCAGGTAAATGGAACAATATATATATATTTATAGTAAACAAATATATTATATGTATTTTTGAAATAATTTGCGTGGTTGAGCACAATGTTGACTTTATAGATGTCAACAAAACACGAGGTCTCGTGACCCAAAGAAACTGATGAATTACAAAAAGAGACATCGCATGAAATCACATGATGGACTGCAAAAGGAATCTGAACCACCTCCCCAACCCCACAGGACCACCATCTCAACCCGAATGAGATTCTCCGATTCGAAGGCATTGGCACGGATCAAGTCCAACACTAAGGCTTCTTCCTTGGCCAAGGCCGAGCAAGGAGAATACCTGGATGGCTCCCACAATCACGAACGACAGCATCACTTGTAAAATTCTAGACATCCATGACCAACCCTAGGCCCTAGATCCCAAGATGCACAGCACATCAAAGAGCCCTTCAACCTTATCACACGATCCATGCAAGGAAATATGACCTACATTGACCCCAAGGGGGCCATTTTCCACTTCCATGATGATTCCAGAGACTGAAATCTGTCTCTTCATTCTACTTTGGGTGCAATCTAGTGCATACACGCCCATGCTCCAAACGGATCTCAAGTTATTTCTGGATCTATCCACCAATGATCGCGAATTGGTGTGGCTTTCAGGAAAGTGAAGAGTCGTGGTATGCGTATATATCCTCTGGGAACAGTCAATGCTGTCATTGTCCTCTTCCAATTGTCCTTTTGCTCAGGCTTTCGACAGCTAGGCAAACCCCAAATAAAGTGTATCTTGGGGGAAGTATATAGGGTGCCTGCAGCTGTAGGCAACAAACATACGGTAGTCATCTGTAGTCTAATTCTTTCCGCATCTTTCTGTTTGACTATGGCGCCATATGCATGGATAAATTCAACTGAGCAACAAAACCTTCACTATTGACTCTCCAAGACGTATTCATCTTCTTCTCTCCGAACGACTTGTCACAACTACAGTCGTTCCGTGTGACCATGGCACAACCGTCCCGTCCCGTGCCGTCCACGGTGTGAACACGTCGTCCAGGCGCCAAGCGTTCCTTGATGAAGTGATAGCTCAAAGGTAAGCCTTGCAAGCCTCAGGAAAACAATCGAAATCCATTTTCCGTGACCGGTTGGGTTCATGTCATACTTATAAGTTGACCTGGTTCTGGGTAAAATTCCAAAAGTTCTCCTGCCAGCAAACAACTGACCAACTGGGTAGAGCCCTCAGAACTCCTGGTTCAAACCACCATGTGGGAATTGAGCCAAAAAGAGTCCTGAGCGCGGTATAACCAATGAAACCATTTCTGGAGCATTGCTCTTTTCTTTGGCCGGGTGCGACCAGGGCAAAATGGGCAGTACATGGCCGTACGTATATGATAGTCTACACTGTGACTCACTAAAAAGACTTTATAGTCCATGGGCATGCCCATTCTTTCCACAGGTGAGTGCCAATCTTTTGAATATAATTAAGTGCCTGCAATGTGGACTCTTGATTCATAAACCCCCATATGGAGACAATTCAAATGGCGGTTTTATTAATCAAACGTCGACATTAAATCTCCAGTCGCGTTTTGGCCTCTCCTACTAATTAGAACATGAGCTGGAAGGCCCCAAAGCAGTCCAAGTCCAAGGACGGCTGGACAAGGCAAGAGGTGATACAACAACATACAACATCACAGTCTTAGTATGCCTTGGTTACATGCTCTGTTTCAGGATAGTAGGCAGGTAAAAATATATTGTTCCACTGGATCAACAAAAAAAGAAAAGGAAATTGTATAATCAGTGTTTTCTTTGTTGGTCACCGTTCGGTTCCTGGCACCATCGGTATCCTCTGCTCCTACAGTCTCGTGCTCCCAGAAAACAGGGCAGGCCAGCGTAGTCGCGCAGGCTGGCCCCGCGGTGCAAGAACTTTTGGAGCTCGCACAACATGAATTGAACATCGTGGAGCTCCTGAGGCAGGACGTGAGGGATCATCATGAGGAATTGGAAAGGACATGTGACAAACAGAAAGGACAGGAAGGCAAGGAGAGGTAGAACGAAGGGGTATACATAATCATGAACCTCAACATGAATGCAGTGCAGCGCAACCGCAAGGCCGCCAAATCATGGGAATGACGAGAAAGAAATCGCGTGTTTGCTCATGGGAAAAATGACACTGATTAACTAATTAAGGTGTGCCATCCATACACGCTTTCCTGGTTGTTATTTGGCTAGTATCATTGCTCGCATCTGGCCTGATATTGAATTTGGGAGAACCCTGGAGCTTCGCAGAAGTGAGGTGGTCGAATTTTTGAGTAGCACCACTGCTTGTAGAAAAGGCGTGGCCAATGGATGCCAATGGAGGGTACATTTTGAGCTAGCAGGAGACTAGGTGATGCCGTCGCCAGCTGTTCGCGTTCGCATTGCCAACGATGTCCAGCATCAGAGTTGGGATCATCAAAGTTATTTTCTTCCTGCTTAGATGGACCCATGGATCATGTGTGTCCGTATTGTATCTGTATATTGTATCATACTGTATACACCCTTCCAAAAAGGTGGGGTATGGGACGACCCGAAATTGGAGGTGTCAAGTCATCTCACTGCATCTCATGATCCCAAGTTCTCTCTGCGCTCCTTCCAATACCCACAAGGGTTTCAACCTTCCGCCCTTGAGGCGGACGCGTGAAACGATCCGTTTCTCCGATTTGTCCGAGTGTCCAACTCGGTGGGATCAAAGTGCCACAAGTGGTTCTGCGCCAGGATTTTCCGCATCAACGGCACCGCCTCCTGCCCACCAAGATACCAGGTGGGAGGAGTTTTCTAGTGCCCACACCAGCGACCAACACGGAGGAAGAATGTGAGGGAAGGTGAAGGAAGGTGAAGGTGAGGGAAGTGAAGGGAAGGTGAAGGAGAAGATGGCGAGGGAAGGTGAAGGCGCTTGTCCTCGGACGTTTGAAGCGCAGAACAATCAGTTGGAAGAAATGCCCTGAGGTTAAAGTTACCAAGACACGTGTTGGGGTATCTTCTTCACAAACAGTTTTTGAACAAACTGCTGTCCAACTGACTGGTGAGCAGCTGCGGGCAAAACCAAAAAAGCTAGGCAAACATTGCTTTGACCATATTTGACCCTTCCACACGTCACACCAGCCAAAGCAAATGTTACATTTAAGATATGCCTACACAAAATATTAAAACCCAACTCATTGGTGGTGTCGGCGGCATTGTTTGAGGCTCCTTCGGGGAGACTTTGCCCCTTCCATAGACCAAGCGCAGTCCTTCCTAAGATGGCCACAGAGTGAGATGACACAGCCCTGCACTTGTCATTCCCCTTCATTTCTCTCCCCTTTTAGCGGCATAATAGTTTTTGGAATGTGATGTTTCAATCAACTTCCCTGGTGTTGACATGGAAGGTGTTGACATGGATGGTGCAAGGTAGCAGTTTTGGAGTGAGTAGGCCGAACCTATCTGAACCCTTTGCACAATTGCATGTTGTTTTTTTTTATCAAATCTCCACATGTCTCATGCTTCAAACATTCCAGAAACTGGATGCTCCACACGCCTGGGATCTCGGGGATCCCGGAAGATGTGTCAACTCCAGCATCTTCCAGCCCCCCCTTCTTGGTGAAAAGAAGAACTCCCAGAATCCGCACCAAACGACAGAATCCAGCATGAACCCTTGAAGAAACACCCCAAACCATGGAACCTAAACCAACAAAACACGCTAAAACATACTAAAACATCCTCCCATCTGTTTCTCCCTGCAGCTGATCACCGGAGCTGGTTCAAAAGAGCGAGCTTCGATGGCTCCAGGGCCAGCGGGAGAGTAGGTGTAACGATCCTGCACCTGGGTTCACTTTCGGCTCGTATCGGTCACCCCTTTGGACGGTGCATGATGTGAATGAACTGTTTTTTTTGGTTAATAGGTTGTCTGCATTCATTTCCGGAGGTGGAACTGGAAAACAAATGAGAACAACATCCTCCAATCTGGAAACAAAGGGATCGAGTATGATCGAGTGTGTCAGTGTCCGACGGCGACGCTCCATGATTCAATGGTAGTAGTCTTTTGGGCCAAACATACATCGATCAGGGAAAGGCATTTGGCCTAGGGTTCCAGTCGTACCTTCTGAGAATGTGTTTGGGGTGGGTTCAGAGGGTCCAGTCATACCTTCTGAGGAAGTACTTGGAGCATTTTGGAGCCCTAGGGCCCTAGGGTTGGCCATACCTCGCCCCTGCCGCCATGACGGTGTCTCTCTGAAGGAGCCACACAGCCGACAGACCATGTGTTGGCTCATTGATGTCAGAAGAGCTCCAAATGATCGAAGCTTGTGTAGAGACCTCAGACCTCCACGAGCAGACCGGTGGTTTAGATGTATATATATATATATATAGATAAATGCAAGGCTAAGGCCAGGCTGATGCAAGATCAGCGCATTCGGCAAAGCCCATCTGATCATGCGAGAAAAAGAGACGGCCGTTTTGTACATACACTCCCTGAAACAATCATGGGAGTGGAAACTGGCCTCTTGGAAGACTGTTTTCCTCTACAAACCGGTGGTTTTCCACTTCCATGATTGTTTCAGGGAGGGTCACCAAAGCGCAGTGTTCATGCAATTATACGATCAATCCCGGATCCGCATATACTCCAAGAGGGTGAAGGAGAATTGCTTGAGGCTTGGAGGGTGCGGAACCGAGCCTGGAGAAGGTGGATCCATGGATCCTCCGATCCAGATCCGATCTGACCAGCTGCTGCGGCTCGTGCCTGCAGCGGCTTCGGCCAAGGGGCACAGGCACGGCCGCCCTCGAAGACTGGGGTGTCGAGGAGGTCTTGCACCAGCTCTTTGGCGAAGAAACCTCTCTTTGGAGAAGACTGGGGCGTTTGGTTTCTGCGTTGGATGATTGACATGCAGGGCCCGCAGGGACAGAGAGGGAAAGAGCAATCGAGTCTCAGTGTCTGCACCACTAGTAGAACAGCACCCCATGTCCCCCATGGGCCCATAGTGTTGCCAACACAGCCAATGAGGCGGCTGAACTGCAGGGCATCAATTCCCAAACCACAGTGGATTTCATCCAAATGACGAAGGCTTTTTCGCCATATAGCCATCAAGAACCTGATCCCAAAGAAAATCCGGAACAAAGAAAATCCGGACCAATATGGCCTACATGACAGGTGGTTTTGGCTGGTCAATGTAGGTCACTATGTCTCATCGTCTTTCCAAGCACATGGATCGTCCGGGGATTTTCATTGAGTCATATAAAGGCATATAAAGGCCAATTCTTTTGAGGTACAGTAGGTCAATCTTCCGACCTTACCAGGTAGGTCAAAGCATCCATGAATTGAGCTTCCCAGGGATGGATTGAGCTACCCAGGTAAGCCAATCAGTGGATGCACTGGGATCTATGGCGCCACACGAGTTCGCCGGCACTCGCCATCCGCCTGGCACTCGCCGGCCATCGTCCCAGGCTCCGAAGAACGGCAGCTCCGCCAAGATATCACCTGAAGCCATCCGCCCTAAACGCTAGACTAGACCCTCTGAGAAGGTGATTGGATAATATTGGAGACACTTTTCTCTAGGCGCCAGGAGGGTCCGAACACCGAAGGAGCTACTTGGATACCTAGGGAAGCAAAACACAAATGTGTGCACTCAGCAAGTTCCCAGCAGAACCTGCAGAACCTTGATGTTTTGTAAAATCCCATGTTTGTGTCCCCTGATTTTTCTTGTTTCGCTTCAAAAGGTCGGGTGGTCCAGATCGTGTTTCCCTCACAAAATGTTGTTCTGTCCGGAAGCTGAGCAAAGCTGTGGAGCGCACTGTGGGGTGCGCCGTTATTGCGCAGAAAAAAGCACACCAATGCCCAGGTCACACACTGGCTGCATGAAGGTTTGCCCACATCTGGGCAAAGCGCTCGCCACCACGCGATAGCACTCCTGCGCAAAAATGCAAGGGCCCCCTAGGGCTCCAACCACATCCCAAAAGAAGGTGGTTGGGGCATGTTGGGTGTTGTATCTACCTTGTGAGGATGTGATTGGATCCCTAAGCGCCCTAAGGGGTAACCACTCAAGCTGGATTTGGAAGCGACGCTGTGAAAGTACACATGATATGCATGACTCTGACCGCATGCTTCAGTATGTTGTGGCTCATCTGAGACAGTGAGAACCACACACCCTAAAAGCTGGCCAGAGCTTGGAGTCCAAAGCTCAAGTCTCAAGTCTCACATCCTTCGTACTACGTTACTACGGAACACCCCAGATAAAGGAACACGAGCTTTGGACTCGAGAACCCGAGAAACCCATTAGAAAGGAACACGTGAGACGAACACCGATGCAACTCCATGGGTCCCATGGGCAGCCCGGGCCGGTTCGAACGGTTGACCCCGGTGTTCGCTTCGGAGCCGGGCCTGCCATAGCCGGTCGATCAACCGGAACTTGCCCACCTCGGTGTGTCACATGTGTTTCGACCCTCCGCATCCGAAACATGGCCTGTACGTATCTCTGGAATTCGCACATGCCACACTCCTGCAGACTCCTGCAGGCCTTTCACTTCGGTCTCTCGATGAATTGGACGTCCACCTCTCTGAAGACCAGTCGATGAATCGGACGACCCAAGGCTTGGTGGCCGGGCCAAGGTTTGGAAGGTGATGTCAGGCTCTGACCAAGGCACTGCTTTGGGACCTGGAGCGGAGCGGAGCTGTGGCCATGGCCAACCATTGTAACCATGAAGGTTTCAGAGGCTTTAGAGGCTGAGGGGTCGACTGCTTACACTCCAACGGAACCGAAGAGGACCTCACACTCCACCGAAAAGAATCCATAAGAAGTGCTTCCAACGGAAAGGAAGTGACCCTCCGAAAGCCTTTCCCAAAATGATCAACAAGAGTCATCTGGCTACCCCGCTGTCCCTTGCCGCACGTCCTCTTCTTTCACTGGCTAAAAATGAGTTTATCAAGGTTGCCATGTCAAAGCAGGCTTACTGCTCTCAAGTATCATCAAGTATCATTCTTCTCCACTCGCCATCCCCAACATGTCTGTCTGATACTTGACATGACACCATTAGGAGCACCAGGGGACATGTACACAGGTATAACTCCTCGCACATTCGTTTGGATCTCTAAGGACTTGAGATGAATCCACTACATTCCACGTAGCTATCTCTATGCATGGAGACGACTTCTCTACCGTGCTCACTTGCTCTGTTACAACTCCATACAACTCCCCATGTGACAGGGAGGGCTGGCTGTGTTTTTTTCATGGCTCAACTCTCCAGCTTGTTCCGCAGCTTCCAAAGCAAACCCACGATTTAGTCTGCATGCGCTGTTTTTGTATGACCGCGCACGCGGTAAAAGCTTACCCCCTCTTAAACCTCCAAGTGGAGTGCTTTGTGATGTGCTGTGCATCTTTGTGCCAGGTTTCGTCGCTCGGAGGTGCAAGTGATTGGGAACAAGCAACTGAGGGGACCATCGGTCAACTGGAAGCATGTCCGGGTTGCCACTGCAGATCCGATCTGACCCGCCACCGCGCTAAACCCCACACACCGTCATCCACGTCATCAGCTGTGGACAGGCCTTGGTTATGCAGTACTTTTCTTAAGGAGTCTCCATCTGCCTTTGGATGGGCCAACTCCGTTCGAAGGGTTCCCGGTCCTCGCAAGGGTGTGAAACCGGTCCCGGTGGTCTCGGGAAGTCTCGGCGTCCGGAACGAAGAATCCTTATGTGAAAGTGGTGGACTCCGGACTCTACACCCAAGCACTCCATGAAAGTGGCAAAAGGATGTAAAAGGGGTTTAAGTATAGATGTTTTTGGAAACACAAGGCCCTCAAACATGGATGTCTAAACTCCACTTGTCTGAATTGCTACGGAATTGTTACTGAAAAAAAGTGTGGAGTCAGACTCAGGTCACAAATCTAAGGGCGACCCAAAAAGGGTCTATTTCAAAAAAGTGAACGCTAATTTTCAGATGTGCCAACCTGAGAGTCTGAGAGCAAAAACAGCTGGTAAACATGGTAAACTTATTCTAAAGTTCGCTTGTGGCTTTATGTGGCTTCCTTATGGTCAACACTACATGGTGTCCCGCAAATGCTTGCCTTGTTCTCTATAAACCATTACTTAAGCTTCTTTGGCCTTCAGGACGGATCCGATATGGTCAAGTCTGCTCGCTCGAAAAAGAACCCTCCCGAGCGTGCAGGTGCAGGTCACAGCCAAAGTGGGTGCTCGAAGCAAGCGCGAACCACTGAGAACACAAACCAAGCATTGTCTGAACCTTGCGCCATAAGAACCAGCTATAGTCTAATAGTAAACAGGTATATATCATAACCATGCAAACACAACGGTGCACAGCATTCCAAGTCAATGGTCCCTTTCAGTTCACCTGAAAATCTTCACTGAAACGAGCCACAAAAAGGTGCCAAGGAGAGATGCCAAAGGTAGCCAGTTCAACTTACTTTTGGTTTGTAGGCTTGTCCAACATGTTTCTTGGTGTTCAACACACACAAACACAAATACACACACCCGCAACACATTAAAACAAAACAAACCAGAAACAACGGGTCACGTGTTCCTTTTCGGTCCCTCCCAACCTGTTCCGATTCCGCGCCGCCGGGATCCGTCCTTTGTAGGCATCCGTGAACAATTCTTCAATCCGCTTCTCACCTCGTAGGTGAACGAACAAACAGGCCGCTTTCTCCGATTTCTTCTTTGGGAAGCCGTGTTCCATTTGGTTCGGAGTGGGCATGAACGGGCTGCTTGGTGGCTGTTACAGGGTGCTGCGATAGAGGCTCCCGTTTTCTCGTGAAGACCTCCTAAAGCCACTGCGTCAATGGAACAGTGGAGCAAAAAGCTGCTGGGTTCAGGTCGAAGTTTTCAGCATCACGACATGAAACCCGGCACTGAAACGCTGTCGGCAACTTTGATCAAATGTTGGTGGTGCAAAGAGATTGATAGATTCATTGCCCGGTGGTCATTAAAGGGTATCATGGAGGTGTGGAATTGCAAGTCGTACCCATCGAAGTGTCTGATCAAACTGTTTATTGATGTCTGTCTTACTAATCACGGTGTCTGCACTCACCATGCATCTGGCCTCAGAGCGAACCCATATCCCAGCTTGCGAATAAAGCAGGACTTAATCCAGGCACCATAAACATGGCTCCAGGGAAAGTCCAAAAATGGTCTCGATCGAGCAGAACAACAAACACCAAACACACCATGGTCACTCTGAATCTATGCCAGGGTGCCTACGGGGGCCCTATAAGGGGTTTGTAGCCAGCTCTCATACCACCGTTGAACTCACCCAGGTGCGCATTCTTGGTAAGACCCTTGCCCCCAAAGACAAGCAATTTCAGTTACCAACCTTCCTTGGGGACCTTGGTGACAAAGGCCAACAAAGAAGGAGCTGGCGCAGTGGACAAGAGCAATTGACATTTGGAACAAGTAGTAAAAGATCCTGGTCCTCACTTCTCTATAAAGCAACAATGAAAGAGAAGCAAAAACAAATCTGATGCAGATTCCCTGGACAGAGATACAACATGACCTTTTGTTTTACACACACAGCTTCACCCTTAAAGAAATACCGGTAATGCATTCATTTGCTACTCCGATCGCCACTTCTGCAGGGCACGGAAGGCTTTGGATACGACCTCCTCGATTTTCCTCGCCAGCGTGCGAGAGGCCAGGTTGGTCGTCTTTAAAGCCTTAAGGTCTTTGATTCACCCAGCAGGACGTTCATTGTGTTGGATTGATCGGCCCCAGAAGCACGGAAGACCGATGTTCATGCTGGTGCAGTTCTTTCTCCACCAGTTAGTTCCTAAGACCAAACACGCCGCCGAGGTTGTCGCCAAAGTATCTTGATATCGCACTATCCATCAAGATTCACTTCCACATCAAAATAGTCAGTCACTCGAAGGCTACCATTCCAAATGATGTTTTCTTGTAAATGCAATTCAATGCGTTTTCTTAACAGCTCTCCTGATGGTTCTCCAGTTCTCCAATACCCCTAAGAATCTTGGGGGGTCTTGCTAGCCACTTTATAGTTGTAAAGTGTGCAGCCTGGCCACCTCAAGGATATAAATCCATATGAAATGACAAGGCCTGTCTGCCCGGGCCCCTGGGCTGAAAATAACCTATAGTTCACTACAGTGCTCACGCTGCCTGAGCTCAGAAATACATGCTGTATCACCTTGTGCACCACCAAAAATACACATGACCGTCATGAAAGTATGGCCCTATCATTCTGGTGTAACCCGTTTTCGCTAGGCCTCATCGGAACCCACGCCAGCCGGTTCCATATCAACACGTTTTCGCTAAACGACCAAATCACGTCTTTGACCATAAGAACCTTTCTGTTGGGGATTCGACCCCCAGAGGCTATCATTTGGGGCTTATTCACAGGGTATGTTCTTCAAGAGTTAGGCTTCTGTTTTGTGCAGATTCTAATTCAGGTTTGTCTCTTCTCAACCAAGAGTCCCTGCTAGATCCAAGAGAATGGGAGATGGGCAGGTCGAGCATTTACAATGAAAACACCTTGTTGCCTTCAAGAGCCTCGGCATCGCGGACAGTTTTTGCTGCCACCCCACGAAAACCGTCGGGCAGAACGGCTGTCCTTTTCTCCTTCTCACCCCAGCCGGATAAGAAGCCGACCTCGCCTTGGTTCAAAGACCCCGGCCATGGCAGCATTCCTAGACTTGGGCCACGTAGTACGAAGCCTCCTAACATCCACTCAGTATAGTTATACCTGGCAAACAAAATCATGATGTTGCAGAATAGTATGGTAAGTGAGTTGTTGACCCACTCACAGCCGCCCATAAAGCCCACAAGAACCAGCCGTCAAGTATATCTGCTGCTTTCAGAGGTTCCCCGAGTCGGAGGGTGTTTTCCTTTACGCCAAAAGGTTGAAGCAATCATCGCCACTCTTGACATTTGTTGGCACTAACATGGAAAGTGGATAACCACCTGTTTGTAGATCGAAGTGGTTAAGGGTAGCCGGTAGCCACTGTGTTTGCCAAAGTTTCATTGTCATGGTTATTGACATGCTTTGTTGATCTTGGACGGTTTGAGTGGCACATGATGGTTGACGATCTTCGCGCGCTCTTTCTTCAAAGTGTCGGAGGGAGCTTGTGGATTTTCAACAGCAGGAAACAATGTCAAGGGGTAATTACCTGGAGCAGGTTTCTTGGTCTCAAATTTGGTCACCTTTCGGCTGCGAGAATATGGCTTCCGATCTGAGGTTATTCCATGTTATTGCTACAGTAACAGTCGAATTTGACTGCATTTGGCCCTAAAGACTTGCTTTCAAGCGCCGGCATCTACACCGATGCTGCACGTAGAAGGGAATTTTGAGTGATGGCTTTGAGCTTGAGCTAATGATGCTAATGGAGTACTTGTATATTTTCTGTGATGCCGCTGCCTTAAAAGTGTCAAAGGTTATCGGGTATCGGAGTAGTGAGATGTGTCATACTGTAAGTTTCAAGTTAAAACGAGCTGTTCGCTGGCTATGGTGGTGAACAGCCCAGTCTTCTGTTTGCCTCGCTATAAGTGTCTGTGCCCTGTGTGCAAAGGTCAGTGTCGCCCGTTGGGATCCCAACAATGGGATCTCTGACGTTTTCAGTCGACGATGATCTAGTGCGATCTCATGCTTTTCTCATGTTGCTGCAACAATGTTATACTTATAGTAATTTTGAATCATAATTTAATTGGGGTACCCGGTCAACCAGTGCAAGTGGCGGGGCCGCCGCGTTCGGCCATGTGGTTGAGGAAAATCGTCCAAGGAACCATTCAATTCTACGATGCATTCAGACCGTGTTGTAAGAATTCCCGGTACCTTTCATGGACCCCTCCAGAAAAAGCGATGCACGCCCCCTGCGGCCTGAAAAACCCGCTCCCATAAGCCCATGCCGGGCCACTGGCGAACAAAGCTGTGCCTCCAATGAAGCGCCAAACCGCAAAGTTCAAGACAATGAGTTCCTTGAGGCGTTTCCTCTCCTGCACGCGCCGTGGAGTGCCTTTTTTCCGACTGCATGCTCCACAAATATGTTTTTTTTTAAACAAGAACTCCGAAGACAAACCCAGGACCCCGTGATTGGAAAAGGGAGGAGGAAGAAGCAAACAAAGTAAAAGGGCACCATGTTCCTACAGTGATGTCCATGCTGCAATGATGATGGACATGCCATCGTTTATTTGGCATTTCATTACCAGCACGCAACCCTCGTTCAACACACCCAGAATGAACCAAGAATGGCATGTTGTCATATATAAACACTATAGTAACTGTATGTCACCCTCTCATCCACCCAATTTCAGGAAAACAACCACTGACATCTCCCCGTTCACTTCCAAATTCTCACGTCCTTCGCCTGAATGACTTTCACCGTTGCGAACCCGAACCGCTTTCTGTGTTCCGCAGAATTCCTCCACGTGGAGGAACCGCATCCAAACTTCACCTTCCAAGCCCAAGGATCGGAAGGATCTTCTTAATTGATCTTACAATTGGAGGTAATTATGTGGATCGTGGTCACATCTGACCTCATCCAACCGCTTCTCGCAGTCCTGATCGTTTTGGCACAGCTTCCAGCGCTGCTCAGCTGCACAGAAGCGGTGTAAACCCTGTGTGGTGCCTGGGTGGACCAGCTCCGCGAGCGCCGCTCGAGCTGGCGGACGCGTTGGAGCTCAGCTCCGCAGCATCTGAAAACGGACAACGGCAAAAGCCTGAATGACCATCCCGGGCGGTTAAGAAGAGGGGTTTCTAGTTTCTACTTCCATCCCGCTGGCCCACTTTCTCAGAAGGGACTTGGAGCCCTATGGGGGCGACTTTGCACTGGATAACATCCGTTTACAAGGGTTTTTGCTTGTCGATTGGCATGAGCCGACACATGGGTCACTCACTGGGCGCTTTTGCTGATTAAGGCTGAAAAACAAAATTGAAGCACCACCTACAATGACCTACAAAAGCCTGGCTGAATTTTTGGTGGTGAGGCGGTGAGGGGTTGTTCATGCTTGTTAGGGCCACTGCAGGGTGGAGAAACCTTGGTGAGCCTGAGTGTTACTATTGTTGCAAGAATAAGCCCAGAAATCCTTCTGGCATCTCCAGCACATACTCCGGTTCGTGGTGTTCCACGTGCTTCTCTTGCAGAACAAACCAGGAAATGGAGGAGATCCCAGGAGACCACCGGCCAAACAGAACAGGGAGTGCTTCAAGGCACTTGCACTGGCATTTACTCAGAACAGGGAGGGGCTTCTGCTTGAAGTAGAACGGGAACTGTGTCCAACCAATGTTGACATAGGATTGATGATTAATGAACCCCCATAACGACCAATTAATCAAGCCCACTTCGATCCCCCAATATTATAAGGTAATTTAAAACCTAAATTTCCACCTTGACATCCCCCAAAGCACTTTTGCCTGGTCAGAACACACTATCTTAATTGTCACTGGCCATCAGGTCATACCAATCCTCTACACTCCACCAATCTGACCATCCAGTATAGGCATCCACCCTCACCACATAGAGCCTCCATCTCCCATTCCTCCTCCATGCTCTCATATGCAGTGATCCAATTGACATGGCTCTGATCTATCAGATCTCTTCTCAACCTTGTGCCAATATACTCCAGAGCTCTCATGGTTCTCATGGTTCTAACTCTCATGATTCACAAAGAATCCCATCGACCATCATCCAATCCAAGTCATCATCTCATCATCCATCATCAGGTCATCACCTTTATTAGGGGGATGTGGTCCTCCAATACCTCCAATCTCAAAGCTTGTTGACCGGGCCGTTGATAAATCCGAGGTCGACATTACTAGATTACTGAACAAAAGCCATCGAAAGTCTTGAATCCAAACCCAAACAAACCAGTCTACCATAGTCTTCCTCCATCCCCTCTTTCGCCGGAGCCACGATCATGGAAGCGATGCACGTTGGGACACTTCCGGCGGCGGAAGTACTCTGCCAGTGACTCCGGGATGCCTCACGTGAGGACAGCGAGGGAGTGTAGGAGCAACCCTGGACCAGTCACAGGCTCCAATGGTGTAGGGCTCCTGGCCCACATCCAAAAAGGAGGTAGTTGAGAGTAGGTGCCAGTGGGGTCAATTCCTACCTTCCTTTCAGATGTGGGACACAATCCAATGTGGAATTTGTCCAGCTCTCCATAGCTCTCCTCTCCTCTCATCCAACTTTGGGACATGTGCGGTCTCCTCAACCACTTCGACATGAAGAAACAGCACCATGAAGGAAGAAAACACAACAGTGCCACACGCCTTCATAGAGGGCCGCTCCCTCTTGGCCTTCAGCTCGGCGGCGGCGGATCAACTCGCGGTAGCTCATGAAGTCATAGAACTGCTTCACACCTTGTGGGCATGGAAAACCATGGAAAACCTTGGTCACCTACTTCAAAATGAACCCTCAAATGAGGGTGATTTTTCCCAACAAGAATTGGCCCAAAAAGACCATTGGGCCTCAATAGAGTGGTTCAAACGAGGGCCTTTTGTGCTAGATGACTGAACCTGCAGGTTCCTGGCCCAGTTCATGAGTCAGGTTTGAGGCACATCCAAATGGCATTGGTTCATGGCTATGGCTCAAAAGAGAAGGAAGAGAACACAGCACCTTCCTGAGAAGATCCATCCGCAGGAATCATTGGAATTCTGGCAGTGCCCAAAAAATCTTAGACTGCTGCTCAAGAGCGCTCTCATGTCGAAAATAATTTGGCACTTCCAACACGTCAGGTTCTCAGGGTGTTCTCGGTACTGCATCTGTAAAGAGATTCTCATGAGCATCACATGCTCTGCTTACTCACCCATGAGTCATTCCCGCCTCTCGGATGATCCAAGTGTGAAGTCAAGTGTACGTTTCCTATGCGGGCCTGGGTTCAGCCTGCAAGCTTTTTGGATGCTGCAAATGGCGCGCTCCATGTCATGTCGTTTCAAGATGTTTCAAGACTGCACAAGTTATGGACAGTTATGATGTGTTCCACGCCAAGCGGGTCTAAATGACGATCACTCCAACTTGCAACCCTGAAACAACATAAACAGCTGATGAGTCATTCCATCTCTCAAGATGGAGCTATCAGGGTTTGCAATACCGTAGTCCTTGCCTGTGAGGTCCGTTACCCAAGCACCAACTTCCACCCATCTGATACACAACGCCCCAGCCTGCCACCTACGAGGACCGCAATATCCACTTGAACGCCCCGTTCCCAAAAGCGCTCGGTTTCCGCCCCAAACGGTCCGCTCCACCGTCCAGCGCAGAACACCGGGCGCTCAACGTCCTCGCCCAAGCGGCTCTTCGCAGGCGGATCTGGTGGCTCCAAGCCACCCAGGTCCACCCTGGTCGCGCCGCGCGAGGCGCGAGTCGTCGGTCGCGAGAGTTCTCGCGGGTGGGCGCGACGGGAGAATGGAAGCCAGGAAAAAAAAGAAACACGCCAGGAATGGGCCAATATCGAATGTTCAACAGTTCAACGTGTCTAAATCTATAGATAGGCCTAGGTTCAGTCTTTGGACACTAAGTTTCATTCCACCCGCAAACAATTTGTTTCATTTCCAACAAATGTCAACCACTTGCATTGATTTACTACTCCATCTCTCATATCTCTCCACCTGTCCGCCACCTTTCGTGCCTTCAAACCCCCCACACCGCCGGCCTCGCCCGCTTGGCCGCCCGAAGGTGGGTGCCCATCGCCGAAGGTGGGGGCGCGGGAAACGGTGAGGAACTCAGGGTGGTTGGGAGATGTTGGCCATTTAGTTTGGAACAATCCATCGTCCACGGATGTGTTGTATATACTTTTTGAAATGTAATGTACCAGTACCACCCCAGTCACTGACGGACCATGTGGTTGGTGGAATGTATCAACTTAAGGACATTCACAAAGGCTTTTGCTGAGATGTCCTTGTTGTCCAATGTTGATCAACAAAAGGAACCACAAAGAAGGAGAGATACTAGTTGAGCAACCATATCACGACATGTTGTTGGATATCTGCACGGTACTTTTAAAGCATCCAGCACACTCCAGCGCTTAGCACATCTGTCATGCAAGGATTTGTTGGCTTGTCGAGTCCTTCCAGTGGTTGTTGTGTGCCTTCGACGATTGAAAGCTCTATTTAATATTGCCCTGTCTACAAAGGGATGTCCAGGCACTATACCTCTACCTACGGCGAACCTGCGAGGAGTTTCGATAGAGGCCGGCAAATTGACAAACAAACAAGGCCCAACTGTATGCAACGATAGCCTTGACTTGACCCACATACCAATAATGGTTCCTCTATAGCTGCGCAGGTATCAAAACTCGAGTCCAAATCTGGAAACAATTTTAAGTTCTATTTGTTTCTCGTCCGATCTATATATATATGATGTGTGTGTGTCAGGATGATCTTGATTGAAGCTGGCTATTGCAATTACAAAACTTCCAGCAACGCTTTACTCTGCCCGAGTCGTTCAACAACTGGCTTGCAAATGCTTACAAGATAATCTGGGTTCAAAAACGTATACTGCATTTCGAATTGTTGTCAATGTTGTCCCATTATGACATGTATCAACACCAACTGGAGGATGTCAGGAATTGGCCCTACCACCTCTCATTTTTGGTGAAGAGTCCAAGGGTCATCAATGGTCATATCCATGCCTTTCCCATGAGACTCGGAGCCCCAACACTGACTCAACACGACTCACCAGGCGACTGCGACTGCTCCGTGGTCCGACTCTTTTTCTCCGCACCACGTCACCGCGCGTTCACCGCGGCACCGCGCGTGGCCGCCAGGAGGCGTCGCTGCGCCAGCAGAAGCAGCTCTTGCGCCACGGCATCCTCCGTGTTTCTCCAGGTCGAAGTCTTCGAGGCCACCGCCTGGGCGACGCACCAAGGATCCGGTCATGAAGTGGACCGGAGAGCGGCACAGCAGGTGTCCCGCCATGCGAACACAAGCAGTTCCGCAGAATATCTGACTAAAACTACCCATATAAAAATTGGGTATGTTCACTAATGAATTGGTTGACCTCTCAACGCTTCCTTGCTTAGAAGAAACTAAGTAGACCCATCTTATTGTGTGTCCTGGGGAATATAGCTTCAACACTCATGTGACCCCCTGCCTTTAGCGTTTCCCTGGCATTGGCCACGGCCACGCCATAGCCAGCGGTGGTCAGCAGTGGAATGTCGTTCCCACCGTCGCCAAAGGCCACAGCAAAGCTGGGCGTCAAAGCCAAGTGAGCACACAATCGACGAAGGCCCGAGCCTTTGTCCACGCCTGGGTTGAACCACGGCCCAGCCTGTGTCCAGTCGTCTAGGAACCCAAACCGATGGACGCTCAGGGTATTTTTGGAATGAACACCTCTTTTTCAGGGGCCTTTTGTATCCCATCATGGAACCTCGTGAACGATGCCTTCCAATCATTGGTGTTCAGCGTTCCTATGTTCCTATGTGCCATTCTCTTCATGTTCTGTGGGCACATCCATGTCAATCCTTGGAGTCCAAACCCAGTCCTTTAAGTGTGAAACTGGCAATTCCAAGCGAACCGCGCTAAGTTCATGAACTGTTTGCTGGGGGGAATCGATGAGGATGTAGGATGATGTAGGCTTAGCGTAGAACAAACCACGTCGGTTTCAACTCAAGGAGTCCTTTGGTGCGGCATTTGTTTCATGCAGTTCAATTTGATTCAATTCATTTCACTGCGGTGGGAGACCAATTCAAGGATCGACACCAGGCCCATCCAGGATCTTCACTTCCAAGGCGCCTGAGGCTTTGATGGACACAAAGGGATCGGGCGCCTGGCCAACCGCGAATCGGCCGTCATTTTGGCAGCGCAAGCAGTGTTGGGTGAGACAATCGCGACGTTTGTGCAACGTTAGACTCTGGTCCCGAACGTGAAGATCAATTGACCTACTAAACATCCATTTTTTCCGCAGGACTGAGCATCTTTTTCAGCCCTTTGATCCTTCATCTTCCACAACTTGGTACGATGTGTCATGCTGCCATGCCCAATACAGTTTTTGTGTTCTTGGAATTTCTGGCACCCCAAGCAACCACCACCAGGATCTGAGCTGAGCACCTGAGATAGGACGTCCACCTGCATGCCAGCTCCTTGTAGCCTCCGCTCCAACCGCTCTTTGGCAGCATCCGGTTCAGGCAGCACGGCCACGACCTGCGCGTTCAACCACAAGGTGAGTGCAAGCACAACAGCCAGTGTCAAACCAAACACAAACACAAACAAGCATGCTAAATTTGCTAAATCTTCCACAGAACCTTGGTCTGCGTTCCTCTACTTCATCCCAAATGTCACCTGAGATTCATTCCAATTCATATCAGCATTCCTTGCAGGTGCCACTTGGATCCAAATGCCGCGCCCGACTCCCCCCGTGCCACCGTGCGACCTCTCGCCCGGCCTCCAACGATCGGTCCTCCGCCAGTACAGCTTCCAGGTCTTCCAGCTTCGCATGCACCGATTTCGCCTCGGCGGCGACATGCTGCTCCATCCAACCATTCGACCTGACGCGTCTCGGTGGACAGCGGTGTTTCTGGCAAAAACCATGCAATGGCTGGCTGCTGCACGTTGTTTGCCACAAGTGAACCATAAAACAACTATACCAAAATGCACGTATCTATAATATATATATATACTATTATATACTGTAAAATTAATCTGAACATGTATGTGTAGAGGTCATTGAGGTGATCAAAACCAAAGAAAAATACCTCGAGCTTCCAACGACCAGAATTGCTTGTAGCTTGGCAAAAAGCTGCAAATTAAGTGAGGGAGAAGCAATCACCCCGCAACCACCCCTTACTTCAATGTAAATGACCCGCTAAAGCCACAATTTTGTGCAAACATCTGCAAATACCGCAAGAACCAATCACCTCAAACAACCAAAACGTCCCAAGATACCAAACAAACAAACAAACAACTCTGGTAGTTGGAAGACCCAGGCATGTCAAATGTCAAACATGTCCTTGATGCAAATGCCGAAGCTCTCCTCAACACCTTTGACACCGAATTTGATGTGCACCTCACGAACTGCCAAGGCGGAAACTGCCAGCAGGTGGCTTATAAGATCACAGTGTGGCTAGTGCTGTGGTCGGCGTGTTCTTCTGCCTGCGAAACAACAACAAGTGCTATGGGTGTTTGTATCACAAAGAGTCTAGACCTGTGCAGCTGAGCTCATCAATTTGCAAGGAAAAGTCCTCCGATGATTATAATGAGTGGTACAGTAAGTCCAAATGCCCGAAAAAGGAACGACCGCGAACACAGCATTTCCGCCTGCTCTGATATGTTGTTAAGCTGATATAACATGAGATATATATATATAGTAAAACATAATCATGCATATTTGATGTTTGTTCTTCCGGGAAAGATTTCACCTCTTTTCTTCACTTCTGTGTTCCACTGGTGCGGTTCCACCCGATCCCTTCACGACGGAAGAGCCAAGACGGCTTGCCTGATCGGGCTGGAAGAGCCAAAGGCTTGCCTCAGCGAAGACGGCTTGAGGTCCCGTCACAAACCCCCAAAGGCCAATGCCCCCAGCTCACTCACTGAAACATTGTTGGACAATGAACCATGGACCACCCGGTGGGTGGGAGGACATTGAACAAATCGAAGAAATGATCTAAAGGACCCAGTTGCCCCTTCAGCTTCTGCTGCTCTCACGGCTTCGCCTGCCTCTCTTCGAGACAGCTGCTGTGCTTCCAGCTGGTGGAAGGTGCCGTCGCGAAGTTCCTCAGCAGCGATGTGAATGTGAGTTCGTTGCCAAAAAAGGCTGCTTTATGGTTGATTCCAGGAAGGCTGGAAAACTCGTGAACAAAAAGCAAAGACCACCATTTACACTAAGTTCAAGACTTGTGAAGCATCAGAGATCATCTCCACAACTCTGACAAGAAAAGAGGACTCAAGGAGCACGGCTCCGGTTTGCCCCTTTCGCCGTCTCGATCAAGCTCAACCGTATCCCGGTCTGACTTACAAGCCCAACATTTTGGGTTGAACAGTCAAAGGTAGAACAATTTGCACCGAGATGGTTGACGAAACTATCTGTCCGGTCAGGTCCAATAGGTAAACACGTATTCAACACAAGCAAAGGCGTGTCAAAATCTGTGATATTTGACCAATGTTTGCGCGGCCTGAGGAGTGCTGAAATATGCTGCATTCTTCTTGACTCCTTTTCAATATATTGACGCATCTCAACGTGCATTGCTTCAGCACATCCTTGCCTCGACGTACATATATTATTAGATAATATTCTAAAGTGAAGCACATCGAGACCAACACTCCCCCAAGAACTAATTTGTGTTGTGCTAGCCAGCACGTCGTTTGAACGAGCACAAGGCGGCCCAAAATACCGCCGCTCTCGTTGCTAAGACTCCATGCAAACAGCGCCACCATAGAGAATCAAAAACAATGGCTCCGGCAAACCATCCAAGGGAGGCAGCTCAGAGATACCACGGGCCGTCGCCAAAACCAAGGGGCATGCAAAGCTTATGACCTGGGACAATGAAGGTTGAAGAGTGGTAACACATGGCAAAGGCCACAAAGGTAAATCTGATCAGAAGCACCTCAAATCCATTCAAACCCTATAAAGTAGCAGCCGCACGGGCTCATCTAGATGTGCTCAGTCAGACATGGTCATCAAACGAATCATCGCAATACTCCGAAAGCCACGAGTGACAAAAGCCTCCGTGGGGCCGGATCTGCCTGATTTGAGACAGAAACCCAAGCAATGAATGTCCAAGTTCAAGTCCATACGAGCCCCGCCTGCTTCAAGACCTTCTTGGTCTCTTCGCTGAAGCTTCCGCCGGAGTGCTCACCATCCAGCAGTGTGCCATCCAAATCGCAAACGACGAGACGGAAGGGTTCCTGGTCCTCCATAGATCCCGACGCAACAACATATCGTTGATATAATATAGACAGTTCCCCTTCACTGCAATCAAACGTTCAATGACATATCATGATTTGGAGATGAAGATGTCTTCTTGTCGAATATGTTGTGGATTGTGGCAAGTGCATACACATGCTTTTATCCATGGCATCCAAAAACAACCAAGAACAAAAGAACACATCATATGATACCACAAAATATAAGAGTTCTGCTCTGTTTCTTTTCTCCCTCGCAAGTTAAATCTATGATTCAGAGTCTCCGACACCACCTTCCTGGAGCCCGTGGGCAGTGGGTTCCGGCCGATCCGCGGTGGGCGCGGCACGGCGCGGATAGCATCGACTCCCAGCTCCACCTGCGCCTCCACCTCCGGGAGACGCGAGGCTTCAGCCTGAAGACTGGTGGAATGGTTTGAGGGTGGGTTGGGCTCCTTTGTTTTGTAATGATATATATATATATTAACATATAGTCATTTCTTTAGTAAAATAGACAAAGGACTATGCAACAATTGCTTGAGTTTATATACACACCTATGTAGTTGGTTACCTCACATTTGTGAACCAGCCACATCACCTTGAAGCTGACTGACCACGTGTAGTCTTTAGATTCCCTGAGTAAGTAAAAATCTGTGGGAAAAGGACCCCTGGACATGGCATCTCTGTGCGATTTGGCTGCAGTTTTCCTGCAGGCCGGTAAATATTGCACAGAATGGATCAGAATTGCACCCACTTGGACTATGGATGACTTTGTCTGACCATGACTTGGACCTCCTGACTCAAACATACATCGCGCCAACGGTGGTTGTATACGATCCGGTTCCACTTGACTGCTTCCACGACTGTTTGGAGGATATAGAATAGTGAACATTGGTTCAAAGTAACATACTTGTGTTGTGGTATTAACGTTGGGAAAAAGAATGGTTCTATTGATGTTTAATGGGTCTACTCTTTACTCTTGTAGAAATAGACAGAATAGACCCAATTGATCCTGTTCTGAACCATCTCCGATGGCAGGTGGTGGGACAACCAGTAATAAGTGCCTCGCTGCCAAACATAGTAGTACCCCGGAAGATTAACATGGAAACTGATGGCATGGACCTTCGGAAGACTATTTTCCTCTACAACCCGGTGGTTGTCGAGTTCCATGTTAATCTTCCAGGGCGTATAGTGCTGTACAAACAACAGGACCTGAGTTGGTAGCAGGCTTTCCACCAATCTCACACATATGTTTTCTTGTTGTCACTTGGCATCTCCCTGACCATCAAAGCATCTGCTCATCAATTAATGAATTAAATTAATCGATCAATTACAGTATCAGTAAATATAAGTAAATCAATATCCAGCTAATTGCATGCCTTAGTCATCCATGATTTGGACCATTTGATGCGTGATGATGCATGAAAGGGAAGCAAAGGATCCAGTCCCTTCTGTCCTAGAAGAACCATTCTTTTCCTACTGAGATTCCCAAATTGTACATCTTATTTGTATTTCTGGTATTTCCACTTTAGAGCTTGAAATACATAACTCATGACGAGGTCCATATGGATGTGGACCCTGTCATGATGAACCCTGTTATGGGAAGCGAAGACGAAGACGCGCCCGGTCGCCTCCAAGAGCGCTGTGGCTGCAGCCACTTCGGCCTGGTGAACTATAGGTCCGAACTGACGGACCACCGAAGTGACGAACCAGTCTTCACAAAAAACACAAAAAACACAAGCGGTTATACTGCCGGACGGTAGTATAAGCCACAATCGTAGAGCCAGTACGGCATTCTAACTTTCAGTCCGGCAGTATATATATATATGTTTTGGCCAAAAGATGGTCAGATTCTGGGTGTATGCATTCTGATAATTGCTTCACTATAGAGTGCTGGGACAGAACCTTGAGTATCAAACCAGGAATTCTTTCCTCGCAAAGAGGGCGAGGGTGCCAAAAGTGTTCCGGCGTGCTTGCGCTGCTCTTGCTGGTCTGCTTCCTTCACATCCTTCATCTGCGCAGCGCTCTCTGTTGCGACAGTCCGAACCAAATACCGACCTCATGAGCCCTTTTTGGACCCCAAAAAGAGAGGTTGAACAGCTGTTTGTCGCCTATCCCAAGTATGTAGCCCTAGTTCGGATCCCAATTCAGGTCTCTCAACCTCTCTTGAAAGACGCGGCACCGCGGGATCCGCCGCACCGGATTGAATGACTGACCAAATGGGCCTGGAGAAGAAGCGGGGTAAAACTCCTGCGGAAGAAAGGGTGCGAAAGCGTGGAAGAAATGGGATGGTGAATGACCACTGGATCCAACACATGGATCCTGTGGTTTTAGTGGATCCGGTTGAAAAAAATGGTTACAAAGCTATCAACATTCACTCACTTTTTCTGGGTGGTGCCGATGGAAGGAATAGATGCTTCACCCTCCCAGATTGATTCATCATGTTTCCTTTCAACCAAATTCACGGATCTTTCCAAATGCGCTTGCCACGGCTTGCCGCATTCGCCGCTCGCGTCACTAGTTGTTTCCCCTTACCATCTTCCCCACAGTGAATCCGTCTCACACGCTTCGTTTAGTCAGTGGAGCAAATCAGCCAGTTGCAAACCCTGATCTGGTGTCTCGAAGTCACAGTAGAACCCAAAAAAAGCGTCCGTTGGTAAGGATTTTGTTGTCCTGATTTTTAAACGATGGTTTGTAAACATTGTTTGTTGGGGGTCATGACAATTCACATGTGTTCGTTGGGGAAGTCTGAGACTGATGTCATGCTGCCCCCCTCCCCCTTTTTTTTGCGCTCATACTTTCTCTTGTGCAGTCCCTTGCTGCACTGGAGGCATTAGAGCAATCTGAGGAGACCCCCGAGACGGGCTCCTTGAGCGGATGGTGGCAGTCATAAAAGCTTGAACGCCGGTGTTAGCTATCTATATACATACAGTGCATAATACATCATAATACATATAGTGTGGCTGACAGTGTGGCATCACCAGGTGGTCTCCTGCAAATCTCCGGAGAGTGGCGTGGCCAGCGTCAGGTCAATCCAGGTCAGTACGCTTAGGACCATGTGAAGTGGTAAACTCAAGAAGGGCCCCGATCTTGGGCGAGGTCATCGCCCATTGGATACTAGGGAGGGCCAACCCACTTCAAGCGTTTCTTTCTGCAGACTCCTTCAAGTGCAAAATCTGCAGAAATGGTTAGATACACCTGGCTTTGCACCTGTTGCCTCCTTTCAACATGAAGTCCACTCAAGCGTAATTTTGGTGCAGTGTTCTCCATTTCCATTAACAAACACATCTAAAAACACATGAAAATTGCATCTGTATCAACATAAATATATATATATATATACTTGTATTATATATACTCCTTTTTCAGTGACCACATGATGGCTTCGACCGCACCCGTGTCTCCGGGATGTTGTTGCTCATTCAAGCAGCAGGGTGTATACAGTACATTTAACTCTGATCGGGCAATGTTCATTCCCCACAGTGTTTAATGTTTGGTCTTATTGAAAGGATATTCAACATTTGAGCCACATCGGTACCCGTACTTCACACCAATATCGCTCACAAACTGATGTTCCGCATAGCACGGCCCTATCTCGGCTTTGACTCCACTTCCATGTAAGGATGTCCTTCGAGGAATATATTACTGTAGTCGATTTGGTACCTTTAGAAACGTACCTCTTGGTTTGTATACTTGGGGGAAATCCCCTAATGAACCAACCAATGGCAAAAAAAGGCCATCGATGCTTCCATCTGACCTGTCGACTTGCCGTGTCTCGCCTCTCCACCCTCCTATCTGGCCGAATCAGCTACTGAGACTGGCTGCTTTGAGAGGTCTCCTCGTGAACTGGGTGGGGTCAACCGAATGCACGGGCCCCCCAAAACCACCAGGTTTAAACATTCACCGATCACTTGGGGTACTTTCGGTACTTTGCAGGGAACATTTGTAGGTAAATCGATTCAGTGCCAATGGTGGGAAATGGATAGCACAGTAGATGCGGATGTTCAGATGTTCGTCCGAAACATTCCTGGTGAGTTGAAGCTGAACCCTCTTTGGCAGCCAGCAATCGGAAAGGCTCTTCGGCTGGTCAGGCTGATCATTGTCTTTTTTCAGAGTTGGACGCCGCTCAGGTGTCCATCGGAGGCCACGAAGTTGAGAAACATCGCAGCCGATTCCAAGATGGTTGGGGAATGTTTGAGCCAGGCACAAGCCACCTGGACTCAAAAAAACACCATAGACAGTACAGCTGTCATTGTCATGGTCCAAAGTACTTTTGCCCAGTTCATGCTGGTCAAAGCCTTTGTTGTTCTATTTGTTCCAAACCTACTACAGTATTATAGTTACATAGTTGTGGTCTGAATCCAGGAGGAGGGGACTAACCTCACCTTGACCTCACCGTGACGTCAGAATCGAACATGTGGTAGCTGGGTCGCTGGGTAGCTCACTGTAGGCGACTCGCTGGGTCACTGAATTCTGGAACTTGAATGTGCCTGAATAAATGGGACAAACATGGACACTTCAACCATACACAAAAAGTGTTCCATGATATTATATGGCTCAAGTTCAACAGTACTTTTTGTGGTTCGACTGGCTACCTTATATATATACTCTATGACAATATACAATATACATAATACACATATGATACAACCTTTCACACGTGTCGAAATTGCGAATGAGCAGCGATTTGGGAATCAGGCATGCCGCAGTTGTGAGCTTTGGTGCCATGTTAAACCAAAAACTCTTGGGTTTGTGTCAAAGCAGCTCTGAAAGCAAATTCCAATGAGTGGAGTATGGTGGAGTGGTGTGGTTCATCTGATTTCAACACAACTCCCCAACCCCTCTTGATCTTCGCTCACGTGCTCTCGGCACGAGGAGTCTTTTCTCAAAACTGTCTCAGTCATCCTCGGCAAGTGGATGCAAGTGGATGAGAAGAGAGTTTTCCCGCGTTTGTCCCCGTTTGTCCCACCACCTCTTTGTTGCAATGGAAAACCCAAAATGAATGGCACAATTCCAAATACATCGTTGGTGACTTTTCAAAGAAACGCCTGATCGGAGGCAGTGCCCAAAAACATACAAAATACTTGGCTTGCAAGGTACAAAAAGGGTTGATCAACTTGATCAACCTGCACATGCATCATGCTAACTGTTCCTGGTTACTCTGGCTCTGCTGTTCCGGCTTGTGGTTAAACCATGTTAAACACCACGTTCGGGGTCGAGACCTGAACACCGCGGACAATCATCTATACTGAACTCAACATGTAGCGTCCTTGCTCCGTTCGTAGCGATGCCAGGAGCCCCTAGCTTCTTGTTCCTAGTAAGGCCAGGAGTCCCGAACGTCGCGTCCTTGCTATTACTTCTAGAAGGTAGAGTAGAGCTCAAACAGTTCTCATTTGGTCTTTCCCAGTAATCGCGCCAACTTCCACACCTGAAGGTGGGTCCAGTAACGTGCAAGGACTCTGGACGCAGATCGGTTCCATGCGTGTAATCCTTCGGAGTTTTGCTCTGGAAACACCCCAGCTGCTTTGGGTTGAAAAAGAAAGGGAGTGGGTTAAATTGGAGGGAGGTTCCATTTCTAACCCTTTGCTTGACATGGCACTGAGCCGGTGCTGTGACCCCAAAAAGCAACTTATGACGACGACCTTCATGCGATGACTGGTCATCATGGAGGAATTCTTCTACACCCAGAAGCACCCATCCCATGATCCGTGCATGTTCCCTTGCTGAAGAAGGCACAATCTGTTGTTTTACTTTCACCTAGCCGGCTAGGCGAAACTGGCAAAGCGAGAAGACATAGGAACATCGAATCTGTATGATAGCTGGATAAAATGCCACCCGAGATAGCCTGAACACATCCAATTGAACACATCCTATGTCACTATGTTCATGACACACAAAATTGAATCAACCTCCAAATGTGGCGAACCACAAAATATGAGATAACCCCCTTGGGTTTAGGGTGCGCCCTGAATTCAGGACAAACCCTGGCTGACCGGGTGGGGTGTCCATTCTTCACAGTTTTGTTGGATTGGGGACTACCATGTTACCTGCTCCTTTGTCCCGGATCCTGTTCAGGTCTTTGATCGCCCACCCGTAGTAAAGGTCTAATCAAGACGCATGGGAATGTCATGACTATCGTTCTGAGGATTTGCGGGGGCGCATCGGGTCAAGTGAGCTCTCAACCTCCAACTCTCTGAAGGCAACTTGAGCTGCAACAAACGACACGGTATAGTTACCCACGTTACTTAAAACTCAATTCGGCTTTGCCTAAATTGAATCAGTTGTCGAACTCTAACCATCTTGGTCTACTGGCCCAAAACAGCATCGCTCAGTGGTGACTGTTTCCAACGGACTTTTAAATATAGATCTACTGATTTAGATGCGTACACACATATATATATATATATCATACCACAATATATATATATATATTATATATATATATCATACCACAACTTGGTCTTGGACATGCCGGGGTTTGCTGAAGGTTGCTCAACCATGTGGGGGACAACCCTCCTCGATCATGTCGACCTCTTGGTCGGCCAGGGGAAACTTGGTCGACCATGTCGAGGCCCTCTCAAACACCTCGGTTGTGTCGGAAAATATTGTTGGACATAACCCCCTCTCAAACACCTCGGTTGTGTCACGTGCTTTATAAAGTTTTGGAGGGGGGAGTATGTCCACGTGCCACCATGTCCGTTCCACACCCCAACATGTCCTCAGTCTGTCCGACGTGGCTGTTCCGGCTGTCCAAAAAGGAGGACACATGTTTTTGTAAGGGCTGTGGTGGCTGTGGCATATTGAGCGCTGGAAAGACCTCTTGGAATGGGATCGACCGTGCCAAAAAGTTTGGTCGCCCATGGCAAGATCTGATAGACCATGTGGGGGAAAGGCCTGCTCGACCATGAAATATCCTGGCAGGGTCTCCCATGGTCTACGTTTGTTCCACCATAATTGTCATGCACTGGTCGAATCCTGCCCAGGAAGATTGACACCCCAAAAACAGCCCCCATTGAGTCCGTCAGCGATCCAAACCTCTTAAAACCCTGGACAGATTCTGATGATTCTGTTTGACCCTGCGGCTGGTGCTGGGCTTTCCAGCGCTGCAAGCAGCGTCCAGGAACAGAGACCTCAGAGATTACCGTCCACAACCGCGACTGAGGCGTTCAGGCGGTGCCTTCTTCTCCCTCCTCTCAGGCACCGTCCATGTATCCACCTGCAACCTGAGGTGACGAAGAGGGGTGTCTGGCAACGAGGTGGTAGTTTCGGGGTGATGTGCCTGCACTAGGGCGTGAGGCAGGAGTTTTGAGGGGTATATGGTGGTATATATAATTTCAATATATATATATATGATATGAGATGAATTGATATGATATGATTCTCTGTGTCTTCATGAGTTGGATTTTTGTCAGACTGGCTTTCACGTGATCCACTACTGCCATGCTACCACCACGTTGCACGTTCTCCGTGACAAGTAGGAATCTGGGATTCTTGATCAACTCCCCTCAACGAGCAATGCTGAATCCAAGCACGTTCAAGGTTTGCTGTTCAAAGGCCCTGGTATCGTGGTCTGAGACCTTTTGGAACGATCTGTTCATCTTCACGAACAGTGGTCAACTCTTTTCTGCAAGAGATATGTCTTTCTACCCCGAACCATCCATGGAATATCTCCTTACTCTTATACATTGACCCATACAACCGGTTCTCCACCCATGGGACAGCAATATGTCCAGTCCCTTGGATCGTCTGGGTACCCAGCCACCGGTGAAAGTCCAAACAAAAAAAGCTGGACAGCTTGGCAGCTCAGCTCGTCTCAGCTCATCGGCTCATTGGAAGGACCCAGCTGATTTTTGTTAGCGACACGAAAGGCAGGAAACGGATGTGTATTTTCATAGGGACATCTCCACCCAAATGGGGTTTCACTATGTGTTTGTCTATTTCCGTCTTTGGGGAGTCTCCCCATTGTAATACACACTCAAGTGGTTGGGCAATGATGGGTTGTCAATAGCGAGGTGTCCATTCACCAGGGTGGGAGGATGTGGGTCCTGCGACTTATACCTGATGGAAGGATGTGGCTTCCAAAAATGAACCACCCCCAGTGTTTCTGATATGTCCCTCCATATGAGCAGAAGGCAAAAGGGACTTAATTGAAGAAAGACCTACGACCTATGCCACTAGGTGATTGCCCAGGCAACATCTAAGATTCACAGATTCACTTAGAACTAGAAATGAACATTGAATAATTAATATATAAACATAAATAGACCATCACAAATTCAGGATAAACCATCACGCAAAAACACACACAATTAATAAACAACACATTTGCCCAGACTCCAAAACTGCCCCCACTTCCCCCCACTTCCTTCCGTGTCCGAGGCACGTGTTGCCCTTGAGCTCGGTGCCATCCATCAAACCACAGGCATTCGCCACCTCATCCTCCGTCTCATAGAGCTCGGTGCAATGCCCGTGCACAAAAAACACATAAACATCACCATGTGGTAAACATGTGGTGAACATTTTTTGTGGACCTACTGAGGGGTTCAAGAAGACGTAAAATCTTCTGGTGCCGTTGGTGGTCTGGCTACCATATCCAACAACATTTGCAACATGCTTGCATGTGGGCTAACACTATGTAACAAGGAATGCTCCGCCACTCTTGTTTTGACTCTTCTCCAAAATTTGTACCAACAAACGTGGCAGGCATATTATGATCGAAGTCAAGTCCTTAGTGGTTATACGATCTCTGACTTCTTCATTCGATCTCTTACACTCTTACACAGTGACTTTGTTGAAAAAACACATACTCAAATATTGAGTTGCACAAAATAAAGGGTGTCCACACTTCTTCGCACACCTCGTCACATATCCAAAGTAACACACACACATCCGCAATACATCAATCAGGGCATCAGGCACCCAGGCATCTGGTCAGGCACTCAGGCATCTGGTCAGGAACTGAGCACCAAAAGAACAAGAGGTTTGAACATGATTCCCCCCACCATGAATGGATAGGCTTTAGAGAACATAGGCATTCTTAGCAACGCCCCCTGTGGGATACAAGAATAAGAATCATCAACAATCATGTCAATGTAGTGTGCAAAACTCATGGGAAAGAAGCCTTGGACATGGTTTTGTTCCCTCTTTGGGGACAACGCTCTTACTGCTTTCCAAATCGTTTCATATCATCTATACCTCTGGAGTTTCACACCCCTTTTGCCTTGCATGGCTGGCCTCGAAACCGAAACGTGTTCCACTCGACCTTCCTTTTTGTGTTCTTTCGTCCAAGAAGCGCAAACGCCTCGTCGCGAGGAGTCGAAGGACATCGCCACACGACACAACGAAGCATCCACACAGAAGCTGGAACCGTCCGGTCTGACACTCCACTTACTTGGGGATGGACACACATCTGTGAAACAGCAATATATATATATATATGAATCTTCTTGGATCTTCTCCATGTCATGTGTCATCTGGAAACAATCGCCTTTTGTGACCTCAACATCAGGTTGGGGGGGAGGAGGATTCCCACCCAAGCTACAGAATAATTGAACTCAGGTTGCTTGAGGCAACAATTTTCCGGAGAAAAGATGTGACGTGATACTACATAATACGCGTATGATATCTTCCAAATTCATCCTATTGTTGGTATCTGAGGAACCAGTGGACACCTACCAAATCTATCAAACTGTCATGGTGGTCTTAGCACGTAACTCATAATGACTGTTCGTCAAACACTCTCCAAACCAAAATCATTGCAAACACTTAATGACTGGTAAATCATAAGTACGGGAACAAAATGACAAAAGATGCCTCTAGTGGCTGAATCAAACAAAATCTGCTGGAATGATGACCGATCTCAAGTCTCTCGAAAAACACAAGACTCCCTTGTTGCGAGACGAGTTCTGTTATTCTTGATGTGGATATATATTAGGTTATTAGGTGGTGAGTTCCTCATGTGCATGCCCCAATTTTACCTATCCACGACAGTTTTGACTCCTGCAGGGCCCCCTCGCAGGGAGTTCTCCCCAAGCGCGCCTGTATTTTTATAGACGTGGGTGAGTTTGGGCTTGATCCCAGTGGCCATGTGCTTATCCAGCTCCTTCCTGGGCACGCCCGGTCGACCCATGTGTCTACACTGCCTTGCTCTTTGTACGCAAACCCCAACCATTCCAGGAAGGACCTGGAAAAGATTCGGAAAATAATAATCACTTTAGGAGACGAAGGCCGCCGCACTCGGCGGTGGATGTGTCCAATGGTCCGGATCTCTTCGTTCGCGTCCCGTGGACATGTTCTTTGATCATCCACGTTCGTGTGCCGGGGTACACGATAACGGTGGATTCAGTCATCAGCATGAGCTATGATAGGAAAAAAACACCATCATGATGATCACCTGCAACGGGGGGAGGTCAACCAGGCAAGGTACTCAGCTCCTTGTGGTGTCTTCCTAAGAAAGTCCATCTTAGGAAGACCATCTTCAAATGGATTCCTCTCCAACCCAGCAACCCCGCCATTGAAACGAGAACTATGTTTCACAACAGTTCCATAGAGTTCCCGTTACTACGGGTGGCTCGTTCCATCGAACGCGCGGAATGCCAATGCCAAGCACACTGCCAAGCAAATGGAGAGTAATTGGATTCCTAAAGCTATGGTCATGTATACAAACCACCCAGTTACTGGGTGGAGCTGTTTTTTAATGTTCTTTTGAAGATGCACTGGAGGCTCCGGGTAGAGATTCTGCCACCGAGGGGCACCCAAACATGATGGGCAGCAGTTCCAAAAGATGGGTTTCCAAAGCAAACCCGATTGGTCTATCCGCCTGGCCAGACCGTCAATAACAGCTCCTAGTAGCATCCTTGCTCCTAGCAGTAAGGCCAGGAGCCCCTAATAGCGTCCTTGCTCCTAGTAGCGAGGTCCTTTGCTCCGTTCGTAGCATCCTCAAACCCTCCCCCCGTCATATTCTCTGAAAAAAGACCAAAGTTCCAAGTGGTGCCTTCAGCCAACCCGCCCACCCAGACTTTAAGGTTCGCGGGCGCCGCCGCCAGCTTCTCCTGTGCATCTGTGTTTCGCAGTGCCGGCCCTTTCGGGGGAGAAGAAGACCTCTTCGAAGGGTATCCTTCTCTTTTTTGGATGGTCTTTTGACATGAAAACGCAACTGTGATTGGATATGTGCACATCAATGTATTATTTGTTGATTATTTGGACATACGGGTGAAGCCCAAGAAAACGGTTTCTGATATATAGGCCTTTGAGAGGCACATTTCTTGTCAAACCCGATCAAGGCCTAGTTCACCAAATACTAAATGAGATATCACACGCTTTCTTTCAATATGTTCAACGAGCACCCTAGCCGTCTCTCCAACCTTTCTGGAATGGAATGGAACTTCACCAAAGTGAATCCATAGTTTAGCATACGAATACTTGAACCGCAACTCCGCAAATGAAGGATCTGGTATGGAATCACTCACTGGATGAAAACAAAAACACATAGACAAATGGCATCTGCTGTTCATGTCTATTGCACTGGTGTGAAATGCATCTATGACTGGGCGGTGGCCATCCCAGAATTCCAAGAATACAATTCCTTGTGATTCTTTGCAATGGCACAATTGCTTGACAACATTTGCCTCCACCTGATCCACCGAAACATTTTGTTGCCCCACAGGGAAACACCCTGACATACCCTGAGCTGGTCAAAAACCTGAAAAATTCCCAAGGGCTCTCATCATGGATGGCCTTGATAGTTTCTGTTGCAAACTTCCAAAACCAAAGCTGAACATCTAACGATAACATTCCGTCTTGCCTATAGAGTAAAAAAACAATAACAATGATAATAAAGCTGAACGTGAACACGTACGGCTGTTGCAACAGGTTCATTGATAACGATTCAGTCGTTTAAAATGTCCAACCTTGGCGGGTGGGCAGTTGCGAGACCCTTCAATTGACTGATCCCTGTGATCAATGTGTGCTCAAATCCGAACATCTTGGATGTCCGCTGTTGTTAGATTTGCTCAACTTGCGTCCAAGGAACACCCTGAGAACCTGACAAAAAAAAGCACATGTATTTGGGGGTGCCAATCCCTGACATTTTCCGCCACTGATAAACATGCACAAAACCTCTGAAACAAGTAAACAACATGCAAAAAACACTTTTGGAATGTATTCGGAGGGTTTGGAGGGTTCAACCATCGTCTAAGAATGTATCGCGGGAAAACCCGGCGAGTTGAGGACTTGCACACACATCTTTTACATGTAAAACCATGCGCCCTCTCCTTCATCTTATCGTTCTGCGGGTTGGCCTTCGCCTTGGCCTTCGCCTTGGCTTTCGCTTTCGGAGTCGCAGGCTGCTTGGCCACGGCCACCTTCTTGAGGGTTGGCCTTGGAAACGGTGAAAAGAAGATTTGCCGAAAAGGATTGTGGGATGTTTACCGCAAGTGTAGCATCACCGATGGGTTCTGAGACACATGTCCAGCCAATAGGAACACCACCCAATTTAAAGCATCAGGAGTGGTCACTTACCCAGGGCGCGCTGCATACTATATCTTTACGAGTCATATATAAATACACGCATACAATGCACCTGGCGAGTGAAAGGAAGAACGCAAAGCGGCAGTTGTTGGCAAAGTACAACCACCAGGAGGCTGTGTACAGTCGGGGACTGCATCAATATATATATATATATGTTATATTCATATTCTACCAATTAGATTCCAACTTTGGAAAACATAGACTCTATTTTGATAAAACATGTCAAATTTTGTAAGGATTGATAAATGCATAAACACAATTTCATAGTAAAACTAGGTCACGGGGTCGTTAGCGACGCGGGGGAATTGCATTCCCCAATTTGTCTTGAGACTCCTCGTATTCAACAGGAAGGTGCTGATTTTCAGAAAGAATGTTAGCGTCAAATCGAATCATTTCCAACACCTAGCAACTTTGGTCAACCTAGGCCCTGGGCCCTAGGGGTAATGTCATTGCTGATGCCCTTCGCTTCTGTCTGTGTCGTTAGGCATTTTGCCAATTTGCCGCTCAAAGAATCTTGGGACACTGATTCCACAGGTCTTTTCCTGCGTTGTGTCTCAACTTGAAGGCATTGCCAGATTTCTGGGTTGAGCAACCCATGTTTTCTTTGTGCTCAGATTCTTTGGGATGAACTTATTGAGCTCTTGTCAAGTTCTGTTTTTGTCTTCCAGTTTTTTTTCTGTATTGACGAGATACTTTGCATTGCCAAGCGCGCTATGATGTACTGTATGTGTTATTGGCCTTCCAGATCTTGGTCTGCCTTAGCACCTCGAGCCAAGGCACACTTCACCCCAGCATACTCCTCTGAAATGGAAAGAGGCAACTTCGAATGCAAGGGCAGATGGGGCGGAAAACTGCATAAGCAATTCCCGGCAAAAACAATAAGGCTTAGTTTCATTGAGCAGAGTGCAATGTAGCCACACTGTCTCACCCAATTGACCACTTTTCGACCAGAGTGGAGTCAAGGATCGAGTCGGGTGCTTGGGACACCCTCACCATTTGACATTGACTTGCTGCGGGTGAACCACCGGTTTGATTGCACTTGACTCCGGCACAATCGCCACTGCAAACGCGTAGCAGTCACCGTCCCATCGCGGTGCAGACCTCTCTCAAGCCCAAGGCCCAAGCCCGCTAAGTGCCCCAGCAAAAAGCAAGGACATCTCTGTTGGTGAAAACACAGACATGATCCCACACCGGACCTGGTCCGATCAAACCTCTATACCCATCCGACGGACAATCTGAATGCCTCAAAACATGTTATACAACACAAAGTGACACAAAGAGTTATATTATCAAACAAAGGAAGAGCGTGGAATCAACATGCACAAATCCTTCCTGTTAGCTAAAAAAACACGGGGCACACTGTCAATAAAACAATGATAAACCATTCCCATCATTTCAACAGGTTGTTCATCGACCTAAACATCAATAGCGCACACAAAAAGAACAAAAATCTATTTTTGCAGAGTATAATTCTCTCCAGTGGTGCAACAAAACACACGGAAATGTCAAAAATCACATTTTTCCTTCCCCCAACGGGAAGGAACATGGTGGAACCTCCTAGCCATGCTCTGCATCTGCTACGAAATGAAGCCTTCTGTGATGTTTTAGTCTTTGGAATGGGGAACCCCAAAGAGGGTTTGAAGCTGTGTGAAACAAGGTTGAAAGAGAGACCATCCTCTCCACCCACGCAAATCCCTTCCTCGAAGCTATTAGTTGGGCAATAACCCTTCGACACATCCTATAATGTCAAAACACGATTCTCACACCTACTACTACCTTGAGAATGCGAGTGATGCCGCACAGTTTAGACTTGCATCTTCTGCATCACCAACTCAGCCCGACAACCCTAGTAATTTTTGTATGCAAAGATATACGCCTTCTGTGCTCTCTAATCTACTGCATGATCCACCACAAACCTGTTGGTATACTGAGTGGTATGGTAAAGTACGTCTGGTGCTCTCTGCCAGCATCTGTATGTTTTCTCCATCCCCTCATCCTTTACCGTCTTTAATAAACTTTAATATCTTTGCTTGTGGGTGCACTTTTGGTGAACACGCAGCATTTCTGTGATGTTACGACTGAACGGGCGTATGATGTCGTGTGCCAACTAAACCTGCAACAGGTTCTCTCCAGCTGGGTGTATAACTACCAGAACGGATACCAGCCAGCCTGTCTGGGCCTGGCCAAAACAAGATCTAATCACATGAGGGAGGCAGTGTATATATATATAGCAAAAATATAGAAAAGGCATGAAAAGGCAAGGCCTGTTTGTAGCGAGGTTCTGAATATTAAACTTCTATAGCTCCTCTCAGTCGACTTAAAAGACCAACAGGCTGTGGCTTTGGATGCGAAACCACAGAGGTCTAAAGAAACGACCTCCCCCCACACCCGGATGCGGAACACAATCTCTCGGAGTTGCATCAGTTGCATTGACCCAGTGCAGCACAGGAATCAGAAACAACAAGATTTCAACATGTTTCTTGTCACCCAGGGCAGCTGCTCTTGGGAACGCCCCGTCCCAAGAATGCAACGAAATCAGCCATTTCCTGTGGACCAAGAAATGGACCAAATGCATCAACTAATAAGCACCAAGGGCAGGCTTTTCTCTGCACTGCAACGCAAGCTGCAACAGTGTGTGTGACACTAGAAACCATGGGAACCCAATTCGATCCTTTAAGGACTGGCTTTCTGAAACGAACACAACCGCACCGGGCCACCCGGGGTGTCTAATAATGGCCTCTCATATAGGCTCATATAGGTGATTCGGGGTGTCCATGAACCCTTTCAAAACCTTGGCATTTCGGGAAAAAATCACAACATGAATCATGGCTGCACCCTGCTATAGTAACTATTCCGGTGCGGGCCCACGCCAAGGGGCGCTTTCTTCACTAAAATGCAGTTGGGGGCGGATGGAAGGGACTTCTTTGGCGCGTCCTCCTGTTCCAAGGAACAAGGCTACCCTTATAATACTTGCGGCCGTGGAACTATGTTGATTGGTGAGGAAGGTGGTCCAACAATGTGCGGGGTAGGACAATGTGATTTGTCCAGATGTCCATAGGACAACGTGGTCCACCGTCGACCGTCCTGGATGTTTCACGATCTTCTTCCCCCAGGGATGTCCACTGTGAATCCACCAGGTCACTCCATCGCTGTGAAGTACCCTGCCCTTTCCTGAAACGACAAGCCTTATCAAGCACGTGACTTTCACCCTCCACGTTACTGGCCTGATCATCACTCTCCCACCCCAGGGTCTCTTCTGAAACCGGAAGTGGGTCTCATTTGAGCGGGGGAAGTGGATCTTGAGATTTTGACATTGGGCTATGGAGCTTATTTAGTTGTTTTTCTTTTTAAACAAATGTTACAGCTCCAACTGTCGGAAAAAGAAAAAAAAACACAATACAGTGCGATGGTAGGAGCTGACTAATACATCTAATACCCCCTTCACACCAACACACCACCTGCAAATGAAAAAAACCTTGCATACCAACATAATTACATGTTTGTTTCACAACCCAACAACTACACACACAACACTTCAGAAACACCAGTGATGAAAACGAGTCCTTCACCTTCACTTTCTCCATCTTGGGCTTCTGGACCCACCTCAGCGGCAAAGCCATCACCCGAATCACGCTCCGGTCACCGCACAAAAGCTTCGTTTTTCTTTGGTGGGTCGATCGGGTGTGGTTGGACTGCAAAGCCCATCCTTGACAGGTCAACTTGATGGTGTGATTCTGATCTTTTCTGTAATTTTTGCATCTTCTCCTGCGGCCTTCGCTTTTTGAAGCGCTATTTCATCCCGAACACATCCTGAAGAGTGGGGACATCCTATAGTCATGTGAACGGTCAGGACGATGGCTTCACAGGCTTTCGTGCTCCTCCCCCGGGCATTGCGATGGTCCAAAGCAGTCGACTTCCGCGCGCTTTTTAACGTAAAAATACTCGGTGGGATAGGCAAAGATCGACTCGGCGAAGATTTAGACCGTGTGGTTTGAAGTATAGATCGATTATTTCCTCTGTTCACCTGTTGACCACTAGTTCCATTTTCTCAAGGAATCTAGTTTCTATATACCCTTTTATAGAGGAATATTATTAATGTTCACAAATCACAAAAACCAAGGGTTGTGATCTCACCCAAGAACTTAGAACCTGCCTTGCTCTGTTTGGATGGTGCCAGTCCGCACTAATCTGTTCAAAGAAGGTGGATCTCCCTGGTCAACTAACTATTCTGCCCATCATGGTGCCCCAGTTTCGAACCGGCCAAGCTGCACATCTACCTCGATGGCTTGACCCTTGAGTTCACTGCCATTCAGCGTGGCCACCGCGTTCTGCAACGGCGAATTCCGCGGATCTCGACTGGAAGATCGTACTGTATAGTACTTCTTAGACAAATGCAGTTTCGTTCACCAAACCAACATGGCAAAAAACGGCACGGTGATCATTCAGACATTGCAAAGAAGACCGCATATCGCATGGTGCAAGGTACTAGTAGTTTCTGGTTTCGCAGGCTCGAGCAAGGGATAGACTGGACCAACTCCCTCGGTCAAAGACGGGGAGTTGGGTCCTTGAAGGTGCATCCTGCGACGCCTGGAACACAAGGCCCGTCTGGGATCGTCTGGGTAGGTTTCCTCTTCTGGTGATGGTGGTACGTGAGTTCTAATCATTCTAATCTGCAATTTGATGTTGTGACAATCCCCACATATAGATATCTTCCTCTTCGCGCAAAGAAGAATTGAATCTCCTGTTTCCATGCAGCAAAACATGCACATCCGCCAGCGCAGGCAGTCTTTACTTACCTCCTTCTGCCTCAACGTCTTCGACCGTCTTGTAGGCCACCACAGCCGTGCCATTCTTCTTAATGTCCTCAGGCGCTGTGTGCAACCCAAACATATGGCACCACAAGGGATGATTGCCCTCCAACATGCGACACTCGTGTTCCAGCCAGTGTTTCTTTCTTTTTTCCAAAGGCTAACCCTTGCAACCTTCGAGGGACTCTCAACTTCACCCTGTTTCCTCTTTTGCAGGTTTTGATGGTGCAGAACCAGCACCATGTCTTACGTTCTGCCACACACACATGCGCAATTGAGACGACTTTGCTAAGTCAACAGATGTTGCTACGCCGCACGCTACACCTGAATGCCGAAACTAGAAGCTATGAACAGCCCAAAGATTGTCCCGACGAACCAGTGACCTGAGACTGGAGACTTCAACTTCATCACATAATCCTCAAGGTCATCCAGTTTGGTCCATTGTGAGGCTTCAACTCCAGGTGCAAACATCTCACAAAACGATCTCATGCAAACCTCCCAACCATCAACCGGGAAGTGCTTTGCGCGCCCAGGACCGCCGCTTGGCGGCCCCTTGGGCCGGATCAGCTCCAAGGTGCGGTGATGGAGGGCTTGGCCACGGAGGAGAAGTGCTTCTCAAGATCCTTCGGGAGGGTGGCCGTGGGTGGGAGGCTGGAGAGGAAGGAGGGAGTGGGTCTATGGCACCGGAGGACGATGGCTGGCCACAAAAATTGAACAGAATGAAATACGATGGAGGTCAACCTATGAGGGTTGATGAGGGTTGATGAGGGTTGAGTCGTTCGAAGGGTTCGACGCTCCACATGGACAGTTTGGTGCTATTTTAGTCCTGAAAGGATCCAACGTTCGAAGCACCAGGGAGGTTACTTCCAAAGACGAGCCTTGGCCTTGTCACTCAAGCATCCCTTATGGCACTGAACATTCCTGGAATGGCGTTTCATTAGTATTTGGCTAAACACCAACCGCCAACCCCACCAAAAACAGATCGTCGGGGTTCAAGTGGAAGAATACTACCGACCCCAATCTCTATCTGCGGTTCACCAGGGCATCCGAATGGCCAACGGGATCCGTTCTGGCCAGCTTCTGAGCGGTGCGGGATACTTCGGATGACCGGGTAGAAGGATTTGGGCGATGGAGTGCCGAGTCGTCCGCTGCCTGGATTGCTTTCTCAGGATACTTTAGACCCCTACATGTCAGGCACCCGCATTGAAAAGGAACACGGCGCATTCCCAGAAACACGCTGCAACCGGCCTTTAGCAAGCTTCACAAAAACACTCCGCACACTGACATGGGCAAACACTCTGTGTTAACACGTGGGCCAACCTGCAAACATGGGCAAACATGCCGTATTCTAAAAAACATATGCGCAATACAAAATCACGGCATCTATAAATTATTTCAAAAATTCTCTTTGAGTGGCACTGGCTCTGCTAAAGTCTCTACGTATCTCCACTTGGGTATGAGGTCATAGGCTGTCGTGATCTCCAAGCCTCTCAGAACAGCCGAGCAGCAGTTCTGGCGCTGCCAAACCGGGATTCGCCCCGAAAAATGGACGAAGGGACAAAGCCGGATTCGAGTCATTCAAAAAGTCCTGAAACAAATACGAAAGTACTCATGAAAGTATGTCACTAATATATATATATATATACATACCCAATATATATATATATATGAGATATATACACATAATTATGTAATATTTTTACTGTATGCTTCAAAAAAATAGTTGCCTGTGGGGTCGTTGACCTGCTTTTGAGACTTCCGGAGGTGGTTCTCTCGGTGCTTCTCTCCACCGTTCGGGTCACCGGTCGGGTCCTTCCAGGTGGTGCTTTCGGACAAACCACCAATCCTCAGGCGTCACACGTGGGCTGCGTATTGTCCTACGACGTGAGCTGCGGCCTGGTGGACGACGTATGGGCGAAACTGGTGCAACTGGCATACTCTGTCGACGACGCAATTAAGCACCCGAAAATTACGTCAATATGGTAAAACATGTAGGATTGCCGCATCCCGACCTTTTCAAGTGTCCCACTCCTTGGCCACTTGAGCAAAACAAGATCCATCAAATCAATTGTGTTTACCGTTCATACGTTGAACAAAGAAAGCAAGCAGCAAATCTCTTGGAACCCGATGTTCGCTGTGCTCCTCACACAGAACTTGTTTTCATCACAGAACTACCAAGAGTTCATTCTGAGCACTGAAGTTCCAGAAAATCGCTGAACACTACCAAGAAGTCTTGAAATGACCAACCTCTGTATTTGGCCACCAAGGATGGTTGTCTGACACATTACAGTATATATTATATACAGTATATCTACACATCACCTCGCGAGACATGTTGTCGTTCTTTCTTAAGCGAATCCATCGCCACTACTGAACGACCTGTCGCCGGTGTGGAGGTGCAGCTCCTTCGGTTTGTGCGTCTTCCACGCGTCCAGGTCCGGGTCCGGTCCTTCGGTTCGTCCAGCCATCCGACCGGACGTGGGCTGAAACCCCTCAGTCATTGCTTCTGGTTCCTAGTAGGTAATGCCCTTTGCTACAATAGTAGCTCCTTCTTCCTGGTAAGGCCAGGTGTGCCCGTAGTAGCGCTAGATGTTTGTGTGAAACCCCTCATTCGGTACAAATGCACCGGAGTGCTCCGATTGTGGAAACATCGGCCAGTGGCCAAGAAGTTCTGATACTGGATATCCACCAGGGATGAGGTCTCATAATAGGATCCATCTGCACATATAGAGGACAGGTCCAAACTAGTGAACTGGTATGCTAAACTGAGATCCTGTAGATGAAATCCTGTGGATGTGTGTGTTTTTGTTCCGCACAGTTCGACATTTCTGAAGTAACACATCTTGTAGATGTGGTTTCTTGCACAATGCCACATTTCTGCAGTACAAACCCTGGGCACCGACTTCTTTAGATTTCTCAAGCAGCACATCTGAAACCTATGATAGATGTTCCCCCGTGCCCAAGAACCCCCAAACACTTCACGACCGCCGGATCGATCGGTGCTGTCGCCGAGGGACCAAACCTGCGCGTCGCCGGCTGCGCGTCGCCAGCGGTGGTGGTGTTCGCCGGTCACCCGAGAAAACGTTGTTGGCAAAGACAAGGCATACCACGAATATGTCTTTGGTGACACGTGTTGTTGTTTTCCAATTTATACTGATATAAATATCTATCTATATATTTGTTTATTTAATGTTATTATTTGTTTATAGAGAGCGGGCAGTTGTGGCAGTACGCTTTTTGGCACATTTGCTATTATGACAAATGGATTATTCATAATAACTTATATGCTATACCTAATCCTATTGTAATTTAATTCTAATTCGGTTCTAATTCAACTCTACATGAATTCTAGTTTATTTTCGTTCAACATCAATACTGATTTAAATCTAAATGGAATTTAATCAAACCTGATTTATATAATTCCATGTCAATTTTTTCTAATATAGTTCTTGTTGCCCGTTAAAACTACAGTATATGTATGAGTTTTTCCTTATACTATATTGTAAGTTGATTTTTGCCAAGGAGCTGGCTTTACATTTACTGTTTTTTTTGAATTCCAACAAACGTGTGAAAACATATTTTGAAGTGTAGGTATGTACCAGGACCATCCTTCTTGGGTATCCAATGGAGATCCACAAATAGCATAGGGTAGTCCAGCCAGGACACCCAAACGATGGTCCAGGTAGGTATACTTGTACTGTTATTGGCATCTTGTAGTTATTGTTCAAGGTACAAACGAAGGATCAAAGTGTTTCAGTACATACCAGGGCGCCCTAAGGGGTGGTTAATGGACACCACTTGACCTCTAGGGGTCACTCCGGGATCATACGGAATGCTTGCCCACTATGTACATGTCTTCTCTTGTTTGACTTTCAACCGTCCACTAAATGGAAATCAACCACAAATGTTCCTTGATGTCTTCGCAGTGGTGTGTGTGTGTGCGCTGTTAGATGTTCATCGGATCATAGTGGCAGTTGTCAGGTTGTTAGATGTCCATCGGATCCGTTGTCCTTCCATCGGCTCAGCGGATCACAGGTTGACTCAGCGGCCGCCCCTGTCGAGGCCTGGACCCTGTCTTCGACGGCTTTGAAAACACATTGGAGCGTTGGAGCGGGGCTGCTTCGTGGATGTTTGGCACTTCAAAACGGACGCACATGTGGGGGATCGTGGGGATGAAAAAAAGAGGACTCTGCTTGAAAGCTGCTCGTGCGAAGGCTGAGCCGGAAGGCTGGGGGGATCCCAAACATCGGTTTGACATCACACTCCTCATGCACTACTCCAGTTCCATGGCAAAATGAACTGGCTTTTGGAGTACAAATGGGTGTGTGCCAAGGCTCACAATGAAAACTATCTTAGGCTGTTAGCGATGTGTTTTCCATCATTTTAGTCCAACATCATGTTTCGAACCCAGTTCCAGTGGCCTTCAATGAGGCATCGGTATTTCGAAGCTTTTCCTCATACTTCGACAAGGGCCTCGGCAGGTCGATGGGCAGTCTTTGCATGATATTGGGAGCTTGGAACAGACCAAAACCAAAGGACCTAGCATGACCCCATTGGAAAAATAGACACATTGTATACATAATAACAAAAATATACCTGAATTCAGTACCATTTTTTATGGTAGGGTACAACATGGAGGGTCCAGGTAACAGCAGCTCAACACATGAACAAAACCCGACCCAAAAATCTGCTGGCAACCATCGCCGGAATGTAGCCGCCTACACCCTGTTGTGCCAGAAAATGTAAATTGTTTAGTGAAGTTGAGGGCCGCCAAAAAATCAATAATGGATATGTTTATTGATTATTGGAACATCTATAAATGTGTTGGTTGAGGGAAACACTACTTCTCAAAAAATGCGCCCTCCAGCACCCTCATCGCCCATGTTTAGGCAGTAAACAACCACAAAAAACAATTCCTATATTATAAAGTGAACTATAGTTGCATATCCCTGACCATGCACTTTCAAGCAGATCATTCCCACAAATTTGACTTTGCCACAAAGGCCAGCACTGAGGTCTCTTGGCTATGGTTCAAAAATAATCTACCACGTGCTAATGATCCAAGGTGCACCCATGCCCCCCCTGCCTCGCATGCGTCCCATGTCGCGCGAGACTTGTCTGGGCTGCCCAATCTTTTTTTGGGGCGCAGGTGCCGGGGACTTCCACGTCTGCCGTCCTACAGAGGCCCAAAGGTCTCCGTTGAAGCTGGAAAGGAAGCAGGTGGGAAACCCTTAGCCCCAAATCCGCCAAGCCTCAGCAACACTGGTTTCATAGTCCCCGGCTGTTGTTTCTTTGTGCTGGTTGCCATTGGAGTGCTGGAACCTGAAGATATAGCGATAAATACATATGTATTGTTATGTATTTTCAAAAAATGAAAAACCCAAATCGAAAGATTCAGCATCTCAACACCAAAACCAAGTGGTGGCCCAACAGGTTACAGATGCAGGAGTGCCCAGAACCATCTAAGGAACCTCACAAAGACATTGTTTTATGCTATGTTGATACAAATAACTATACAAGTAGCAATACACATATATATATATATATATGTTGACATTGACATGTATTTGTGAAATTGTCTTTCCGGGGCAGGTCGCTGAACAAGTTGCAGAAGAAATTTCCGGAGCAGATTCCGGGCGGAGCAGGTCCCGGAGAGAATTGGAGAGGAGGTTCCAGAGCAAGTCCCGGAGCAGGTTCTGGAGCAGCTTCCGGAGCTGGTTCTGCAGCAAGTTTCACAATATTTTTCCTCCAGCAAGAAGGAGAAAGTGCTTCATCAAAACACAATATGCTGGAGCTGCTCGGAGTTGTCGCCTCATCAAAGCCACAATAGATGTCTCAGGTTGCCCCGTGGCCAAGGTGCTAAGAAAAGACTCTTCCAAGCATGGTCTCAGGCAGAGCCATCATCAGAATAGTGAGTAGTGTCGATCGCATCACCCGTCACACGTGGCCATCATCATCAGGTCACTATGGGTCGCACATTGGCTAAGTAAACAAAGAGGCGAACTCTGACCAGAGTGAGTTGTAAGTCCCGAAGAGTTGCAATTCCCACGCAGACGGTCTGTGCGACTGCTTCATTCTCTGAGAAACGTTCTTGGGCTCGCTCATGCCATTCTGCTAGTAAGGACTTGTTCTCATGCTATTCTGCGAGTAGGGACTTGTTGTCATGAGAGGCCCCAACGAATGTTTCCACGTACTCAGGTACTCCAAGATTGCTCGAGCATGCAGTCTATGTCCTCATCATTCTCGAGCGGCCAAATAGCGTGGTGACAAATGCCTGCCTAGACCTTTTCGAAGGACTTCTTGACATGAGCTGAAACTGTCGCGCTGGCGTTACAAACGTTTTGACACATGCTGTGAATTTGCGCTTCCGCTCAGGAAGCGTTTTCTTGCACTTGCAACGGCCCATTGTGCCAGCTAAGCCCAGGTCTCTTGCAAAGAAAGGCATGCCTCCATATTCTGGGGATTGCAAAGCTGACTGCGGTTGAACAGTCTGATTGGGAGACGACCTCGACGCTGTAAACCTGCCCTAGTATATAGCATCAGAAATCATATAGCTTCATGAGCTGCTTGCGGCTTTAGCTGTAAGCAAGATCTGTCTACTGTGCGAACATGCAGACATGCTGTGATGCTGCCAATGCCGTAGCGAATTGACGCTGGCATGTCGTCATGCTGGAATGTTGTCACGCTGGCATGTTCATGTCATCAGGCTACCATGTTTACTGCGCACTGGCATGCCGACATTCCAACAGGTTGTCACTCTGCCACACTAACTTGTAGAATCTTGTAGACATGTGCCATGCTGAAGGGCTGTCTTTGCTCCCACGCTAACATTACATACGTGTTGTCCTGCTGACACGGGCCACCCTAGCATGCAACACGTTGTCACGCTGAGATGGTGACGTCGGGTCATGCTGTCGTGCTGACATGCTGGCAGGCTCCCAAGCGGATTCCAGAGCAGGTTCCCTGATTCTTGATCCTTGCGGCCTTGTCATGCTTGCACAATTGGGGCACATGCGCTATGCCGTATTGCTGCGTCTGCGATACCCGCGTAGCACATTGAAAAGGCTCATGTGTTTCAAATCACCACTGTCTGACAAAGGCACTAACACTTGTTGGTGAATAGGCAATTCTGTCACTACTTCATTAGGTGGATTCATTCTGAGCTGTGGGTGCTTTTCTTGGACTTGTTCAACGCTTTGGCAGCAGCGTCCTTTGATCTGCGAGACGATGTTGGAGATGTTAGCGCCGTGGGGGACGAACACCCAGGAACCGCCGCCGCCACCTTTCCTGAAGGCGCATGGTAAGCTGAGTGGGCAAAACCCGGCTTTCCATGAAACCACTCTCATTTGATAGCCCCTCCCATGAGGGTTTGTATGGGTTTGTCAAACATCTTATCCTTCGTCATCTTTGGCTTGGGAATGGAACACTACAGTACAAACATCAAACCCTCATTTCCCCACAAAACCTTTTCTGATTTGGCTAAAAGTCAGGCCTTGGTTGACCTACCTGGGAGGTCAAGCTACATGGTGTTGGGGCTCCAGGTTTTGACCCATCGCCATTTTGGTAGAACCGACCTGATTCTTGGGCGCTTGGAGTGATTTTGTCATGGGGCCATCGTCCAATCCATTTCCAGGCGTCTTTCGTCTGCCGTGGAAGGAATACACAAGCTGACTCAACCAAAACATCGACCACACAAAGACCCAACCAGTTCGCCCCTTAGTTCCAGCACTGGATTTCGCTCGTTGTCTTGGTCCGTTCTGGAACCCAGGACGACGAACGCTTCAAGTGGCCCTGCTCCCTTGGGCTTCGAGATCACCTTCCGCACAGGAGCCGCCTGGAGCTGGCGCCCGGCCGTCTCCCCGCCAGCGGGTGGTGCGACCATGTCTGCTGGTTCAATGCAAGAGTGTCCGAGGTCGTTCAAACACTGCATTCTGATGTGTGATGTGGTGTTTTCTTCTTGAAAATCAGAACAGAACGACTCCGAGGACCCAAGGCCCGGGTCATGGCTCGATGCATGGAAAGGTGATTTCTGCCAAACTTCGCACCAACAAAACTGGTCCAAGCCGGTCACAAAGGACCAGACTCGTCGTTTCATTCTGGGACCAAGGCAGTTTTGAGAGGGTCAATGACAATGACGAGGTGTTAGGGAGACTATATTGCGATACATGACCTATTCCATACTCCATCATATTCCAACTTGCATCATCCAAATTATTCCATTAAAACACAAATATGTCAATACACACACGTAGAGCCTGGAGTGTTTGCTCCTGTTGCCTGCAACTATCGGCGAACCTGGCGGGTCGACACCGTCGCCTGTCTCAGCACGGTCTGTCTCACCGCACCCCACGGTCTTCCCATGGCGTCGGGAAGCTGCGACGAAAAGCGACGCGTTGGGCTACCGGGCAAACCACCGCGGGCGAGGTGCGCGGGCGAGGTGCGAGTTCGAGATGGGTTCGAGATGGGCAGCACTGTAGACGTCTTGAGTAAAGAATAAAACAATTAGATTGTAAGAGCTCTTCATATGCGATTTTTTTTTACATCCAGTGGATACATGATCGTAGCTTTACAAGTGATTTGTAGCTTAGACTAAGTCTACCAAGATCCTTCGCCTTGACGGGGCCCATTCAAAGCTTGGTGGGGTGATGGTTTCTCCCGTTTTGCCGACCGCACCCTCAACACTGATTGGCCCGACTCCGAGATGGAGTCAAACCATGTTTAAGCCATGAGGTTTCAGTCTTCCCTGGTTTGTCTGGAAGCGAGTGAGGGTGTTCTATAGACTTTTCTTGGTCAACCAGGGATCCAGCTCGGAGGACTCATCCAAACAGTCTAGGGATCAAGAACTACTGCATCTTTCATCTCCCGTTGATGGTCCCTAAGAGTCTTTGATGGACACCTTCTCCTGAACCCCCCATAGGTCTTGGGTTAACCAAAACATGCCAAAACCATCCAAAACCCACATGACATGCTTGGACCCTCTACTTCCTTCACTATTGAAAAATCACCCTGTCACACCCCCACAAAACAAAAAAAACAGAAAACAACCAACATCCGGGGCCGTCCAGGACTGTCGTGCCCTCTTTGACATGTTCTCATGAAAGAGCTCCAAACAGCCCGGAGATTGTTTTTTTCTCTTCCAAACCCCTCCCCCCTTCACCCCTTGTTCCGGGATCAACGGACTCGCGGAAACGTTCGTCCGTTCCTCCGTTCGGACCGAGTCGGATCCGACTCGTGACCCTCTGAAGTCGGATCGTTCCGCTGCTTTTTTAGCAGCAGAAGTGGAGATGTGGTCCCACTCCCGGAGAGTGGATGGGAGTAGATGGTCCCAACAGGCCACTACATATGAGGCCAAATAGGATGACCCTTGTCCGTTCCTGGTCCGAATGGTGCCAAAAAAATGTCTTTGTCGTTTTTGTTTTTTCACTTGAATGTGTTTTGTTTCAGGGTGTATATGGCAATCCAGGGGTGGCTCAAGTTCTGATAAACGTCTGTTTGAGTCTCCAGATCTCTCAAGGACATTCACTGGAAAATAAGCGTCAAGTAACAACCCCCCCCCAAAAGGTTGGAATGGCCGAGGTCCGAGGCGTGCAGAACTCCCCAATCTCCTGGAGATCAACTTCTCCACCAAGCTTTGATCCCGACGCCTGGCACACAGGACCCCGTCGAAACGCTCCCAAAAGACTTATTACGTTGTCTTTTTTAAGAATATATTGATAGTAACTATATAAGAGAGTCGAAGAGTCCTTTACAGTATTCCAGGAGATTCATGTTTCCAACAAAAACTCCAAACGAGAAACTCAACATCTTTTGGGCCAACGGATGCATTTACTGCTGTTTTGTTCTTTGCCGGTCGATTTCGCAGCCTCAACAAATGCAGCCGAACTCACCGCCAGGGATCTTTCCAAATAATAGGGGGAAAGGACGAGTTTCTCAAAAGCACGGGATAGCCTGGCAGTCTCTCAAGAAAGCTCTAGCTGTTCTGTAAAGTGTTGATCATATCAGAAAGATTCAGAAAGGCTATTGATACGCCCCCAAACATGAGCACATGTTTTGCTTCAAAACATGCAAGTGGGCCAGATGCACTGAATGTCATCCGCGCACGATACTGCCGATCTTCAGCGTAAAGTCCATAACACCTTGAACATACAACCCTTATATAGTGAGTTTCTTGCAATTTGGCAAAGATGATTTCAATCAAATATACAGTTTTCTTTTTTTGTACTATCATGTTTTAGTTTTGACATGTTTTGACTATACTTCAAATACCAACCACCAAGTCTGACGAACCACACTCCAACATCTAAGTCATCGTCGAACCCAGCATCCCGTCCACCTGCGCCAGTCCAGCCCCTCAACGACCCCAGGACCCCGCTGGCGCCAACCGCATCATGTGCACAGCCTGGGGAGCTTCTCCCAAAAGCTCCGCACCGCCGCGGGCGCCACACGCAAGGCGAGCAGTAACCTGGCTCCACATGGGTCCCAAATCCAGAATAGCAAAGGTAGGCTGGAGATCCACCCAAAACCCACCCACCCCAATCACTGCAAATAAACATGTGGGACAGGAGCCCCAGAATCGTGTTTTTGGGACTGGGTTCCGGTGGTTCCGCAGCTCTTTTCACAGTCTGTGAGAAGTCACCTGGAAGTTTCAAGAGATCTGAGGGGGTCGACACTGGAATAATCGCCACTGACAGATCTGGGTGCTGCCGAAGATCCTGTAACATTGGGTAAACCAAGAGTGGGAGATGGGTGGGAGTGTGATCTCCACCTTCCCTGTGTCGATGACGAAACACTTTCTCAGCCAAGTCAATTATTTATGTTGTTTCTTGTTTAATTCACACTCCAGCAGTCCCAAAGGTGCTTAATGGAGGTTGGGGGTGCCCAGAACATCCACTCTCTGGATGGGACTAAACACCACCCCTTTGTGACGGCTGGCTTACTTATATAGTTTCTTTCCACCAGCTAAGTGAAGAGTCTCATACGAACGGACGGGTGTGTCGCGGTGCGTTCCACATCACCGGGCGCGCAACGCGGTGCGAAGCCCCACCGGTCTCCGGCCATTTTCCACGTGACCGGTCACGTGAGTGCGGCAGGGTCTTCCTGCACTGGTGGTCGGCGGCATCGGTGGAAAGGGGAAGTGGCATGGCGAACTGGACCATGTGAACACGGTCATCGGTTGAAGTGGGCGTTTGTCCGGTCATCGGCCTGAATTATGCACGCAAATTTTGGCCAAGGAAGGATTCTGTCTCATCTGTCAGCTGGGACTCGTCCGCAAGTGTGTGTGTGTGTGTGTTTGTGTGTGTGTGTGTCTGTTCACTACAGCGCTTCAAGTGAAATGCAACATCTGATAGCAAGAAGTGCGTATAGGTGTCTAGGACAACATATCCTTTCTTTGTGTTGGGACCACGGGGTGATTTTCTGCAGAATGAGAAACCCATTATATTCTACCCTTCACAATCTAATTCTGCATACCTGGTGTTGGATATAGCAGCATTCTTGGCCGACTGGAACTCAAGCAACCATTGACCTCAATTAGCTTCAGTGACTGAGGTCTTCCCCAAAATTAAATACCTTTTGAGACTGATTGCTCACTTACGGTAGGTATTTGTTTTATGGTGTGAAATCCAACCGAAAGTCCGGAAGTGCGCAACTGATTGCCTGGGGTACAATCTAACTTATATAATGTAAACACACTCCAACATATATTATATATTCTTATATAAACATCTATATAAACCCTATCAGTCTACTTTAGCGAACCTCTGAGGCAGTGTAGGCACGAGTCTGGTTTTGTGTTCTTCACCGAGCAGGAAGGCAACTGGCCATCGCACAGCTCGAGTTCACGTCGCGTCGCCCACACAGCCCAACAGTCTGGTCCAGGCCCATGAAGTAACTGCACCCATCAGAAGTCTTGGACATGCACTGTGAATATTCTCTGACTCTACTAGATCCGAAGCTGGTGCCGAAGCTCTACTACCTATGAGTCGCACCGCACCTATGGTTCAAGGTCCAATGACATCATACCATTTCGCAACACTTGACACAATGGTCCGGCAGAAAATGTTTCAACCACCTCTTGATCCGGTATGTATCAATCACCATGGACTATTGATTGCTCTGTGCTCCTTGCCTATCCACCAACAGCACTGCTGCACCCTTTCGGCGCACATTTTGGCGCTCATGGCGCAATTGGGGCTACTGCCATTGAGCAGAAGCGCCAGTCTCAAGAGAAGAAGGTACAAGTTGGTCACATGCTTGTTGGCCATCTCGCCAAGAAAACTATGTCTGGCGAACAAGTGAACAAAGACTATACGAAATGAACCCTGCCCACCAAATTAATTGGACACAAGGGAAATGGTCAGTAGCCAAAGGTCGACAACCCACATTTGTCCAAACACACCCTGGCCCGGTTGATGCATTCCTACAAGAATGATATTGTTAGATCTCTTTAGAATTACGAGGGGGTCCTGTTTGTGCGACAAGCAGTGATTGCCATCATCTCCTGGAATTATTGACTACCGATCATCCAAGTACCATGTTCTGGCCCATATTCTTGGCAACAAAGTGGAGGGTACTACTGTAAGTACTTACTAAAACTGTCTCCAAGGTGGTGTGTTTTTTGATCCAGGCTCATGCCACACGGTTGCTGAGTTGGAACTCATTGCACCTTCTCCCTCGAGCTATGCCCAGTGAGGGCAGGGTCGCGTGCGACATCGCGAAAGCCGTCGCCCTATGCAGTCAAAGCCATGTGGGCCATCCGATGGGTCAAGGATTAGTAGCAAACACAAGGCGTACAAAGCAACATGGTCTATGGATCCAGGTACGGTGACTGGAGACTATGTAGGCGCCAGATGGCGCCAGGAGGGTCCAGTCGTACCTTCTGAGAAGATATGTGGATCCCTAGGGATGGCAAGTGCAACAGGTCAAGTAGAGGATATGATTCAGCAAGGTTATATATATATATATAAGTTATATATATATATAAATCCCTTTTGGGGGGGGACCTATTGCTTTTGCTGGTTTTAGCAACAATGTCAACATAGCTGAACATTTAAAAAACACATGCGAAAATATGGTTATCATTGCTTTTGAGTGGAGAGTATCGCTTTTGTAAACGGTTTTAGCCCAATTCCTGAAATTCACCACCGCTCTTCACTACACAAAATAATGATTGCGGCTTTCGGTGGTTGCTCATGTGTCCTACAGTCTCGGATCCCCAGTGCTGTATGATCACTTGCAAGTCTCGAAAAATAAAAAGCAAAAAACAACCAGTCGGGATCCGTGGTCTATCTCAGGACATTGCTTTCTCTTGGATCAATTCAGTCATCCGGGAGCCCTGAATAGAAAATGATTTACACAGTGTCTACAAGAGTGGATCATGGAGGTGCTCGAAGAGGCATCCA